CTTTGGAGAACTCTGACTAATATAGCCTTCTACTGATTATAGATGTTAAGGACTGGCTGCCCATCTGTTTTGTCCAAGGGACAACATGCCTTATTAACTGCCTCCTTAACTCTCTACAGTCAAGCCCTTTGGCCGCCTCTCCATCATCATGGTGATACAGGTCTATGGTTTCTGGACGGCAAGTGTAGTCATCTGGCCTCTCTGATTTCAGGCTTGTATCGTGCCCATGAATGTTAACAAGCCCAGCTCTGGGACAGCCTTTCCTGCCAACAGCTGTGGCCAGCAGCGGAGGAGGCAATCACTGAGCTTCTTAGTGATGCTTAGTGAGGCCCCTTTTGTCAGCACATTCCTGATGACATTGGTGAATGCTGTGTGCTCTGATGGGTCTTCTGGCCTCACATAATATGTCCATGCCAGCATTGCTGCTTCCCTCAACCTTTTTATTCCTTCCTTTACCTTCTGACAGGGAAATTCAGCATGGGCCTTCATTTTCTCCTTGCTTCTGAGACCACCCTAGCCACAAGTTTGCCTTATCTCCGTGGATCTTTTCCAGAAAATTAAATCTCATGTCCCAGCAGAGTCTCACCTGGTGAATGAATTCTTGCTTATCCAGTCTTATCTTCCCATCCCCTTGATCAAGCATCTTCAGAATGTCCCAGCATAACTCCCCTGGCTCCCAGCAATACATGTTAGCTAACTCTCAGAGCTCATTTGGGGTGTAATCTCTTTCCTATTTATTAGACCCAGGATAGTCGAGTTATATTGGGGTTTATCCAGCATAGTTGTCCACCTGGCAGTCAGGAGAGGAGGTGAGTGCAGCTCCTAAGGGGTTATCTTTTGCTGGGTTGGGAAGAGGCCTCTGTTAATATCTTCCTCTACAGAGAAAGTGCTAGCTCTTACCTTGGAGGGGTGGGCTACTTCTGCAAGTTCTGAGGGATCAGAAGGGTCTGCTGAGCCAAAATATTTGAAACATCCATTCAAGTACTCCCATCCTATGTTACATGGTCCCAGGTTTTCTCAACAGACCTACCTTGACTGAGCATTTAAACATCTTGAGCTCTGCAACACTGCTGAGTTTGCTCCTCAGCTGTATATATATTTTTATTATATCTCCTCCTCCAACAAGAATGCTAGAATGTAGCCTCCATCAAGGAAGAGACTTTGCTTTGTTTGTTGCTCTGTTCTTAGTACTTATAACAATACTTGCTGCATAGCAGGCACTCAATAAATATTTATCGAATGAGCAAATGAATGAATGTGTAGATCTACAAGGGAGCGTTCAACTACAGTATATCCATCCTAAGGAATTTTATGCAGCCATTAGAAACATTTGCAAAGAATTTTCAATGATAAGAGGGAAAGCTTACGCAATAGTGTTAAGTGAAAAAGACTTGGAGAGGTAACAGCTACACCTATCCCATCCATGAAAATAAGCTCACATCGAAAAAAAAGACACCGGAAGAAAATATTTACAATAGCATAAATAGCATTTGGGTAGTATATTTTGGCCCCTTAATTCTTCTGGTTGTATGTAAAGAAGCCTAAAAGGACTGGGATAAGTCATCTGATTCAGGCTCCCTGTAGCCCTGACCAACTGCAAAACGGAATGTTGGACACGCTTCCTTTAACCACAGAAAGGATATCATAGAGAAGTCAGAGGCATCTAACACTTATCCTACACTCATAGAGGCCATTCTAAGGATAAAAGGTGGATTTGAGACAGGGGGGAAACTGAAAATGATAAAATAAATGTTTGTCTCCTTTAGCATATGTTCACCATCATTTCAAGGGTTCCCAGAAGTGCAGGACTTCCCTATGTCTGATGTGAACCTCAAAGCTCTGCCCTGACTCCTATAATCTGTCTGCCTAGGTCTCAAGAGATGACTCAGGATTGAAAGAATATTCATGGCATAGAAAATATACAACGGGGTAGAAGAAACCACCCTATCTCAAGAAAGGTTGCAATTTATTTAAGTGGGCAAAACATAGAAATAGAATGGAAATATATGTGGTTACTGCCAAATGAGATGTAAAGACAATAAGGGCAACAGCAATTCTGAGAAGAGAGAGGTGAGAGGGTTAGGGCAGTCCTTCCAAAAAGTTGGAATATAAGCTGGTCCTAAAGGTTGAGTGGTATTTAGGTAAGCAGAGAAGAATAGGCCAGGAAATTCCAATAGGAGAAGGAAAGCCAATGTGGATAAGCAATATAGAGTGCATCTGAGCCCATAAACAGGCTCTTTTCTCAAAGACGTTTTGAGTAAAGCATTTTAATAAGAATTATATCAACATATTGGTTTTATCTAGTTAAATTTTTGTTCACTTAGCAGTGTTAAAACACAATATAGTATTTGCTTCCAATACTATATTGTATTTTCAAAGATTTTTCTTATGGCTTATTTCTTTTCCTCGAACTTTAAATGAAGGTTAGATTATTAATCAGCTTTTTCAAATAAACCTTCATCAGTTACAAGTTCTGCCTTTTCAAGCCATTATTTCTCCCAAGAATGATATTCCCAAGTCACATTTTGCATATAAAAAATTTATTAATAAGATTTTATTCTTTTGTCAATTTTTAGTGAATAACATATTTTAACAAATGCCATTTTTAGCCATTACCAATTTTTTTCCTCTTGGTTACAAGATCTAATCTTTCCAGAACTAACTTCCAATTGCAGAATTACAATTATAGAATTAACCAACCAATTATACTTTATCAATTATTTTTATCTATAACATATTTTACATGTGAGATTTTTAGCCACTATTTTATTTTGCACTAAATATTTCTACCAGTATTATTCATTATGAACTATAAAAATACTGCTAATTTGTACTATTTCTTACCCAAAACATGAGAATTTTATAGGCTGTTGCCCTCAGATCTCCTATGAATTTTCCTTTGTCCAAATTGTAATGCAAATGTATTATACTGCAAATCTAATTCTTCTATACACTTCTGATCCCTTTTTGTATCTTCCAAAGTAAAGATCCATGATACTGAAAAAAATTTTTAAAAAAAAGATCCATGGCACTGATAAAGTAAAAACATGGTTGCAAGCAACAGAAACTAACTCTGGCTGATTTAAAAGAAAATTATCTGTTAATAGGATGTGAGGGTAACCCAGAAAATCCTGGAGGGAGGGGGCTTCAGAGAAAACAGCAGAACCTGTCCAGTCTGGCTGCCCCCATGCCAGAGGCACCAGGTTCCTGACTCTCCTGGCCCTGGACTCTACATGTCACCTCTAGCATCACTGTCTCCTCTGTACCATGAGCCAGACTAACTGCAGTTGGCATCATCACCAGGGAAGAGTCGCCCTGGTCCCTGATTCTTTGCATCCCTAGCTCTCAATTAGGAGAGGGGGAGGAGGGGTAGATGGGTGGGTCTGAGGGGAGAAAGTTGTGAGGGCTGGGTCACATGCCTGCCTTCTTGCTGCAAGGGACGCTGGGGGAGCGAATGAAACACAGCTGCCACCCAGATGATAAAGGTGATGGGATTCTCCAGCACAGGAAGGGGCTTAATATCTTGGACTAGCAAAAAGAATGACAAATGCCCATTAGAAGTTCAGAAGATCAGAGAGAAAATATCCTCTCTTATTCAGCAAAATATCAGATGTGGCAGAATGACCACAAACCCTAGACCTTAACTTGGGGGCTGTCCAACATAGAACTAATGCATTCTCATCTCTGTGTTCCTCGCCATGCAGCCAATCATCTGTGCAGGTTCTCAGGTAGTAGGCAAGTTAAAAGATTAACTTAACTATACCAGTTGGACTGGACACATGACCTTCTTCTGCAGTAGTTTTTAGCAAATGTAAAAATCAAAATGTTCTTCTCTATGTCTAGTGAACTTCCTGTATACTGGAACTTAGTAACACAGAATGGTTACATTAGTGTTGCTGTTAGAGCAGTTGAGGCTTTAGTATTTAAATGGGTAGCTGGAAAAAAAAATCACTGGTTTTTAAGTTAGAGTGTTTCTCTGAAGAATTTTTTAATAGCTCTCATTTAGTTATTTATTGTTCTATATGGTTGCTAAAAATCACATTGCTTGAATTAACGTTGTATAATCATTTATATTTAATTTTAAGGATAATTTGATAAAAAATGTATTGTTAAGTATTTAATATATAAAATAGATATGGCAAATAAAAATAACCTTTATACTAGGTAGTTTCCATAACAGCACACAAGTCAGTGATTTTTACACAACCCAAAGACTACACAATGGTAAACTTTAGGACTTAGAGATCCTTGTAGTTCTATTTTCAATACGACTGAAGCTGTTGTCCTAAGCCTCCAAAATACAGAATATCTTAATGGGTGAAAACCTACCTAACAGACACAATGAACACTATCTGAGTGATGGGCACACTTACAGCCCTGACTCAAGCATTACAAAAGTGATCCATGTAACCAAAAACATTTGTACCCCCATAATATTTTGAAATAAAGAGAATCACAAAAATATATATTTTACAGCAATAATTAAAGATAATGTTTTATTGTAGTAATAGCTTTCCAATTGTTTCCTCATGTCACAGGTGCTGGTTTCTTCTGTATTTGTAGAGTTATTTGTCATTTCCTCTTCCCCCTTTGAGATTATCTGTAGTTCTGTTCGCCCCCTAAGCCTATTTCTTATTCTTCTCCTTCAGTTCCTTAAACATACCTATTTCTGTCTCTAACCATCTGGTCAAGATGCTTTTATTACAGCCGAGACTGAAGGGTGGCAATGGCTTAAAGGACCTCCAGGGAGAGGGAGAGCCGTGTTTCCCTTCCAGACTTATGAGTTTTCCTAAGCTTTCCACATGCTTAGTGGTTCATCTCATAATTCTAGTGAAGGTCAGGCAGTTGGTACTGGGATCCTTAGACTGAAACCAAATGGCCCTCAGAACCAAGATTAGAATTCAGAAACTTTGCAGTGTTAATTTGGAATCGCAGACCACCATGACATCTATCATTCTACTAGAGTTTTCTTTCAGTAACTATTTAATAGGAGTGTTTATCTCAACTCTGTATTTCCCAAACAGAGCTATCAATCAGACCCATCTCCACAACCACTGTGAGCGAGACAAGCATAGTTCAGGCCTTCAGGCTTGCCAGGAGGGCAGTAAGCCACTTGTTTTTCTTGGCAGAAATCTTTGTCTGCATGTGGTTCCTTCTCTTCTTTCCTCAGACCACAAGATTCAGATTCCTGGGAGCCTGGAAGACCCTCAGAATTTTTTTCACCTTGGCTGCATTCTGTGGCAAGTACCATATAGTTTAACCCTTCTTGGTTCTTGGTTTCCATTAAAGCAATTGACATAACATCACTTGAATTCACACAAATCATATTGCCACCTTCACCTGTGGAAAAAATATGAAGGTTATTCTAGCATGTATTTCTTTTCATTTATTTGTAATAATATATAGGCTGTATGATAATTATGGCAACACCAACTTTACACATTTATTCAGCAAACATTTATTAGTGCTGCTAAGTGCTGGGAGTACGAAGATAAATAAGACACATTCCCTGTTCCTTGAGGCTATTGCAGTCTAGTAGGGAAGCGGACATGTTACTATAGAAGGTGACATGCACTTTAAAATAACAAGTGGAACAGGTCATGGTCTTGTGATAGGAATTAAGTGGCCCTAGGATGGCTCTTTTTGTGTAAAATATTCTTTCATCTTTCTGCAGCAGCTGGAATGTCTACTTTTAAAGATTTAACTTTTAGATTTACTAATTTAATCACTTATTAAGACAATATTTACTGAATGCCTACTACATGCCAGGCTGTGTTCTAGGTATTTATGATATAGCAATGAATGAAATAAAGTTTCTGTGCTTAGCCCTGATGTACACCCAAGTCTAGTTTATTTGAAATGAACTTAAATTGAAATATGAGGAAAATGAAATCATTTCAAAGGACTAAGGGAAGCACCATTGTACCTATTTTTTCCTAACGGAATTTTAATAGACCTCCCTGTTTTTCAAGTTCCACACCTGAAATACAAAGCTTATTCTAATGTAAGAGCTTATGAGCTACATCCCTGTTCTGTATCAAGTGTGCATGTCTTTTGCAGACCCCCAAACTGCTGAAGAGCAAGATGGCCGAACAGGCTTCTGGGCTCTTTGGCCTCATCTCATTTTCTTCTTCATTGTTGAAATATCATTATAGTATGTTTCAAACCCCCTGAGTAGTTAGAGTTACAAAATAGCTCCCCAATAGAAATAACTTTTTCAGATGCCAAGTTTGGTTCATGCCTAAGTTCTGAATCCCTGTGGAAGGAGTCAACCATTACGGTTATTGACAATATGTACTAAGGCATTGAGAAACTCATAAGAATAACTTGGTAGATGTAATAATAGCAACCAAAAATATAAAAAAAATTAGGAAGAAATAAGATATTCAAATTTAATTAGTCCAGTGGCCCAGATAATTGCGGAAACTAGGATGTCCTTAATAGGCTTAAAGAAATTCAGCTAAAGAAAAGTTTAGAATTTCAACAAAAATTTAAATCCACAATACAGTCTACCCACTCATATCAGCTGCTTCCTTGCCATACCGTTAAGCCATTAAATAGCATGTTGGAAAACTTCCTACCAAAAGATTATTTTAATTTTTAATTTTTTTTTTTGCTTTGAGTTGTTTGAAAAGAATCTTTTATATGAGGCAAATAAATTCATTTTGCAAATTCTCTTGTCATGTGTCAAAGAAAAATCATTAGCTAACTACTTTATTGGTTCATAGTGCTTGCAGCAATATTTAGTAACTTGACCCTGGCAAGCCTTCAGCAATTAGTACATCTTCTTGTTGCATGAAAAGCTTATGAGAGACTATGGTAGCGGGAAGAGGTTGTTTTGTTTTGTTTGTTTATTTTTGTTTAAAAATTACTTAATAGAAAGCCTCTGGGTCAGACCTTAAAGCAGATATCCTGAACAAAAACAGCATGCACTCAGCAACCTCTTTAAGAGCAAATATTAAAATAAAGACTTCCAAGTAAGACGGGGTATTTGCAGACGAGACATATGCCGGCTGACTGGCTATGTTTAGAACAGCAGAGGAGCATTTAGATTTGTTTCCTGTAGAACTCTCTGGGACTGATGAGGTGATGTTTACACAAATGTTTGGATGAAGTCACTGGGATATTTTTACTAGATGCCCAGATATGTTACTAATCTTCTCTCTCTATCCCTTTTCCACCCCATTAGGTCAGTAGGACCATAGGATAGGCATGGTATTATTGCTCCCTGTAATCCTAAGCACCCCCCTCCTTTTTTTTCTTAAAAAAAGTCCTTCCAATGGCTTTTCTTATCTTCTTATATATCTCCCACAACAACAATGAAGACAGACATCTTATTGCTTTGCTAAATATGCCCACCAGTCAGCAAAACAGAAAACTATTATTAAACACATTCTCTTTTATTAAAAACATAATTAAGTTTAGGCTCGCCTTGAAGGGACCATTCCACTATTTCTATCCTTCGTAAATATGCAAACCCTGCCTTTCTTTCTATTTCTTCTCTGTTCCCTGCCTCTCTTGTTCAATTATAATCTTAATTATCAATTTTTTTTAGTGATTTCTGTATCTCTTTATATTCTTTATCTTCAAGATTTACATTCATTGTAAGTAACAAAATGATGATTTCTCCTTTACTAAAACTATACTGCCAAGAATTGCTTATTTCTGTCTAATTATCATAATTTGATTATGTTCCCTTTTAGACTCTTCCTGTGTCATTATTCTGAATATTTATGTCTGCTTCTCTATCTTTATGAATATTATTTAGAACTTTAATTCCTTCTGCCAACAACTTGGCACCTAAATAAACTTGGTACAACCAAGAAAAAATGGTGGAACTTTTATAGCAGGCAATAAGCAATAATTTCTTTCATTATACCTAGCTGTGCAGCACATTATTGAGAACATAATTGGGGAGCATGTGTGGACAGTTTCCTTCCCACAGCCATGGCTTTGTGAAGGCTGAGGGCAAAGGCTCTAGAATAGAGCCAAACTCTAGCCCCATCTCAGCGGTATGATCATGGGAAAGTTGGTAAACCTCAGTTTTCTCATCTGTAAAATAGTGTTAATAATAATACCCGTTTCATAAGGATGTCATGAGGATTTAATGAGTTAACCTGCATAGCATAGTGAGTAGCACCTAAAAAGTGCTAAAATAAAATTAGCTATGATAGTAATTAAAACCTTTCACAAAAAGGATTTTGTTCTGTATATTTAGTGTGAGCATTGTTTGTTACCTATCTCAGCCTTGTAGATGAACTAGGCAATGCAACATGGTAAAAAGATATTCTCTAGGGTCCATGGAGACTTCTGGAAGAATCTAAGGTAAAGCTAAGCTCTTGGGCCTACTATCATCACCCATTATGACAGCCTCTGTGATTTTTATAAAATGTCTTCAACACATTAGAAGGAAAGGATTCCATGAGCAAAGAATTGAATTGTGAAAATGCAAGTCAGCTGTAAAATCCAGGCATCCCTCTGGAATCCTTTACCTCTCTGTAACATTTGACCACTCCCTTCTTTGTGAACCACTTTCCTTTGGGTTTCCATGACAATGCTTTCTTCTGGCTTTCCTCTTCCCTTTCTGGCTTCTCCTCCTCACATCCACCATCTTTCTTTGTTAGTCCCTCCTATACTGGCTGTTCTCTGGGTCCAATCCACTGTTCACTCTCTTCCTATCCCATATTCTAATTTAAATGACTGCAGCTACACCGCGACTTCAGCCACCTATATTTACAGGATAGACTTTTCAACTGAGCACAAACCCTCTCAACTGTATCCTCAGTTTCCCCACTTAGATAACCCACAGGCAGCTCAAACCACAGCAAAACCTGTTCCGCGTCTTCAGGAATAGCACTGTTTTTCACCTGGTTTCTCAACTCACTGGGAATCACCATTGTCTCCTTTCTCTTCCTCACCCAATTAGCCACCGAGTCCTATCACACCTACCTCTGTGATAACTCTGGACTCACTTTCCTTCTCTCCATACCTGTTATCATGCATTAATTCAGCTTTTATTAATTTTCATTTCTTACCTTGATTAGTATGACAAATATCCCTCTAATTTCATCCTTTGCCATTTCCCACCCTCGTGTGTAAATTCCATGCCTTTCTACACCCTGCTCCTTCTATCCTGAAGTACTTTTTTTCTCACCTCCCTGAAGAACCCAACTTTGAAGTACATCCTCCCATGGCTTTTCTTAATGCTCCCTCTGCCACAGAGTGGACTCAGCAATCTTCCTCTGGACTCCTAGAGAACATGGATTTCCTCTCCATAACAACATAGAGTGCTTGTTCTCCTGGCTTCTGGTAGAATATGTAATATAAGATCACCTGTTCACCAAATCCTTAAAACTAAGCTTATGTATAAGAAAAAAATCTTAAGGAACTGACTAGAGAACCTACAGACCACCAATTCCTCTGGATTACATAAATTTTATCTCTGATTCCAGCCAGTACATATGCAAATATACATAAATGAGCATTTCTGTAAATGGTCATATATACATACAAAATATCTATAAGTATTGTAACTGACTTATTAACTATGACTAGCACTGGGGAATGAGATAGGGAGGAATTAGAAAACTTTTACTTTTTACTCTGCTTAGATAATTTTATATTTTTTATAATAAACATGAATTACACTTATAATAAATATTTTTAAAATGTAGGTACAGTTATAAAATAATATAGCAAGAGCAGTTACTGAGATGAATTACTAGAAAAGTTAGAAGGAAAACCATAAAGGAATCAGGAGTCATTTTTATGGTTGATATAAAATAACATAAAATTCTTTTTCAAACCTTTAAAATGTAACTATCTGTACTTAATATACAAAGTGTACAAAAATGATATTCACAAGCAAATTTGAGTCTTATCAGTCAAGCTTTGCTTTCTAATGATAAAAGCAGTGATCTAGTAAGAAAAAGAGGCTTTCAATGCCAAGCAAACAAAACCACGTTCTGCTTACCTTTCAGATATCCATATATTCTACTCAACCCAGTTACAGACATTTGTCTGTCTTAGGAACAAAATATTTCATTTTACATATTGACAAACCACCCTGGATCATGGTTCTTCTAAAGTTTCCATATGTGAGCTTATAACAAATAAGAACCAGGCCAGGCAGGAGCAGGTTCATATGGCTTGAGCAAAACAGTATTATTCATTAGTGAACTGGTGACACCCATCTTTCTTATAGATAGAGACACAATCCTATGCCAAGAACAACTTTCCAAATCACCATTAAAAGCTTAGTTCACTAAGAAACTTTGCATACAAAATTAAAGAAACTGACTCCAATTTTAAAGGGAAAAAAATATTATTACTTCTTTTTCTTTAAAACAGACAAACGGAACACATTAAATACAGGTGCTTACCACTATGCCTTGCCCAAAAGTCAATAACTCTCCGATGAAATAGTTTTTTTTAATTATCAAGATTTAGTTCAGAAAATTCTTTCATTAAGTAAATGTTTAGAAAATGAGAAAGGATATGTTTTTCCAAATTCCATGTGATCTTCACATAGGCAAGGCTATGTGTAGAACCCTCCAAAAGGATGTGGTTGCTGTAGCAGTTATAACTCCAGAGTGCTCTGCCATCGGCACTCTCAGAATCAGCTCAGTCCGAGGATGAGAAGGTGGGTGGAGCCAATGTGAGACTATTAACAAGGCTTGTTCTGATGAGGGTTATGATGCATGGCCAAGGCAAGCGCAGCTCTTTTCAATCTGTCACTTAGCAGTTTACATCAAAGAAGTTACATGATCAGAGGCTTATGTTCACATCATGACCAAAAGTTACCCAAAATATATAGTCAGAAGCACTAGACAAATAGATATTTGTCCTCGGGCTTTTTCTTTTTTCCTGCTGTTAATCAAGTACATCACTCAAAGTGAAGGTCTCAGATGTAAAGGCGATCTGGCTGTGACATCTGTCACCCATTGATTGCCAGGGTGGATTCAGCTGATGTGTCTGGCTAGGCAGGTGTCCCCTTCCTCCCTCACTGCTTCATGTGTGTCCCCCCCGAAGCTGCATACTTGGTTGAAAAAGATGACCTTTCCCAATAGAGGAGGATTGTTCTTTGGTCAAAGGTATACAAGTATCTGTGCTCCCCTGCTAGAATCTCCAAACTAGCTCTCAAGGTGAAGGTCTCATGGTGAGAGTAGATGAAGGTCTGTGCTACACGGTGAGAGTAGATGATGTCACACAGCCATCAGCCCTGTTATAGTCAATCACTGCCAATACCAAGAGGCCTAATTTCTGAGAGATTTTGAGTCAGGGTCCATCTTGCCAGATTTATTTCTAAGCAAGAATGTCTACATTTAAATAAACAAAGGGCCTCTCAGACGTTTAATAAAAAGAAGGATTTCTAGAGCAGCTAAAGAGGAACATTTTAAAAATCATTTTTCTACAGCAAATTAGGCAAGTATATGGTAAATCTGATTTTGGAAATGAATTAGGTGACTAACATGTTCTAATTCTGTTTCTTACATTGATCTAAAAAGCTTAGTCTATTCCATCACAGTACAATGGTTCCAGAAGATTATTGTCTAATTTACCGAAGTACTGAACTTGTAGAATCAGACTAGATCTTAGCAAGGCCTGTGCTACTGCAATAATCGTAGCAAAATTACTCAGCAGTTAGAAGCAAAGAGTTAGATATATACATAGCAACATGGATGGATCTTAAAAATACAGGGCTTAATGAAAAAAGAAAGAAAAATATTCATGTGCATTTTGCAGGAAAACATACAAATGAAAAGATACAGACTGGAGACATTAGAATGGTTGTCTGGCAGTGGAGAGAGAGGAAATAGAACACGAGAGAAATATGGGGATAAAGCACTAAATAAACAAACAAACAAGAGAGAAGCCTGCACCAACCAATGATGACAGTGTCCCATATCTGAAGAGTCTATAATTAACTCAACTCTGTACTTGAGGTCCAAACTGGTGCATGGAGGGGTGGAGGAGGAGAACAGATCTCGTGAAAATATAATCAAACATGTTAATTCTCCTCTTTACTGCCTTAGATTATAAATCTAGGGACCATAGCACGATCCTTAATTTTTTTATTTAGTGTACAATACAAAATAATTTTCAAAGAAGAATACAATAAACACTTAATCATGATGATTATTATTAATCGTAAGAATCATATTATTCTTCTTACCTACTTTAAAATGTCTTATGTGTATATTCCATTTTAACCCTGTTCAGTTCACAGAGGAGAGAACACTAGAAAATTCTGAAGAATCAAACTTACCTTCAAAGCCTTCATTTATGACTCCACTGGTGTTTGCTTCATCTCTGCATTGAGAAACACTATTTAAGGAAAAATTTCTGAATAACTGCAGCTGGTCTTGAATTCTATGGAAAGTAGGCCTTTGGTCGGGTTCTTGAGCCCAGCAGTGGATCATTAAATTCCACCTGGATATATGGGTAAAGATGAGAACATAAATGGTGATTGGATGTCATTAGTGATAACCTAGGTAAGGTCATTTCAGAAATGAAAGGATTTGAGTCATTACTGGATTTCCACAATTAATATGAATTTACATAAATGAATCAGAACAAAGGCTTTTGTTTTTATTTAAGAGTAGCTTGCAATATTACCATCTTTATAGATAACATCTTTCTTTTGAAAAACTGGCCTTAGTTCAACAGTTATTAATCCAAATAAACAGATGGATAAATAGATGGTTAGAAAATGTCTACTCAACACATAAGGAAACTAACAGCCATAAAAATTATTGAAGAAGTTGATATTTAAAAGATTTACTCCAGTCCACACAGATATTTAGTGGCAGAAACAGAGGCAGAAATCAGACTCGATGCCAGATGCTGTGTCCTCTTTATTACCCAGTCAGGTTAATTATGGGACTGAGTTCCCCAGACATTCATAGCTGGTTGATTAAGCATCATCTTTTCCTTAATGGTTGTCTAAGAAACATCTATGCAGCACTCTTAGCTAGCGTTCATTCATTCACTCAACAAAGATTTTGGACAATTACTTTATACCAGCAGTGTATTAGGAGCTAGGGATGTGGCCATGTGGCTCCTGTCCTCATAGGTGATATATAAATGGGAGAGGGTGACAAAATTTATCATACCACAATGCATATGAGGAAAAATGGTGACTCTTTTATATAGTCTGTAGCTAATTAGGTATTTTTCAGAGTCCCCACTTAGCAGAAGAAACTTTATTTAGTACAATGCAGTTTATAACCAACCTAGTCCAATCCACTATTTTAAATAATCATTTTAAGTAACATCCAGTCTTTTCTGGCTAATAACTCAGTCTTTCTTATTTTCAGTCCATCCCCACCCTCTCTGACCTCCTTTCCAAGATAGTGTGAGGTTATACATCAGGTAAGAGGCTTGTGTGGCTTCTAGTGGCCAATGGGAATTCAGTAAGGAATGACTGGTCTGGTCCTTCCTGAAGGGATCAGCTACTTTCAGCAGTCCCTGAATTCTTTTCCTATTCTCTTGGCTTTTCCCCACTGAACTGGTCCTCCCTTGTCCCTCTCTAGCTGGAGAATTCTCTGAGACTCTACCATGCCTTATATGCACTGACAAGACGCAGGGAGTCCATTTTTGTTTCTGTTGTATGCCCACATGGTGCTTCTTGGCAGAATCTCTAGCTTTCAACAAAATGTCCACACTCTGGGAAACAAAGGAAGACTGGGAGCATAAGCTAGACCTTCTCTGTCTGGACATGCCATTCTCCCTTCTTAATGATGCTGGGTCTCCCCTTGTCAAAGTGGAGGTCTCTGCTCAATGATCTCCTTGCCATCCTCCTAAATAGGAAGGGGGTGGGCAATCACTCCATGCTCTTGCTGTTGCCCACCTAATCTAATTGAAGTCTGCAGGGGAAGTTTCAGGACCCAGATAATTCAATATTTCACCCTCCTACCTTTATCTGTCAAATTCTCTTCTTTCTGATTCTCTAGAATCAGAAGAGCATTTCCCTGGGTCTCAGAAGGAATAAGGATTTTACTCACTTCCTCTTTTTTATTAGACTATCCTTATATAAAATTATGTGTCTTTATACATATAGTTAACACTTGGTACTTAATACACAAACAAGGAGCTAAAAAACACTAGATAGCCCCCTCTCTCCTTCAAATATGGTTTTCAAGTCTACTGACTCACCAAAAATGTCAAGTACCCACTCTCTTTTTTGAGAGAGAACTGATAAAGAAACATAGATTGGGAGGTATTTAAAATATTAGTACTACTACCTCAACAGATAAATATGCAATTACAAATGATGATAAGTTCTTTACAAAGTGCTAATGAAAACAAATGTGAGTTCTGATAGACACAAAACATTTTTGGGAAGTTGCTCACAGAAGGCCAGTCTGCAGAGATGACATTAAGAACTTTGTAGGAAAATAAGATGCTAGTCATGAGAATAGGGTGTGGATGGAAGTCAGGGAACACACTACAAGAGGGGAAAGCATGTGTAAAGTCCTAAATTTGGAAAGAGGTTGGCACATTTTAGAATCTGAAAGAAAGCCAGTATCACTGAAGTGCAGTCATTGAGGGGAGAGCATGAGATGAGATCAGAGGAGGAAGGCGAGACCATGCAGGTCTCATAGGCCAGGCACAGTGCCAGATTTTATGACACCACAGTGGGAAGCCTTTGAAGGTTTTAAGGCCACATGATCTCTATATTTTTAAAGGATTACTCCAGTCGATATGTGGACAATGGGTTATAGAGGGGCAAGTTGGACGCTATTAAAGAAGACTAGGTAAGAGATAATGGTGGTTTGGACTAAGGTAACGCCAATGGAGCTAGACCAAGATAATATTCAATCGCTGGTGTCAATGGCCCAGAAATCATTACAGGTGCTGTGTTTAAAATAGGTAGTATCTATTTTAGGAATTATAATGCAATCTGTATTCCATTATAATATGGCATGCAAACTCCATTTCCATTTATTTCATTTCTTGACAAGCACCTCAGGTCAGAGTTAGTACTCAATATCAGAATATTATGGGGAAACCTAATATTAGACTGTTTCCAATGTATTGATCTGATGACTTTCCATATATATTACATATATAATTTACATTTTGGATATAGAGTACCAAACTTGGCTCTTTTTAAAAAAGTTAGAATAGCTGAGAAATAACCAAAAGACAACTCGTTTTCCAGGATGCGTTTTACCCAAGAAGTTTCTAAAAGTACAAATAACCCACAACTATAAACTCTATTATGTGCACGGTACCATGTTAAAGATTGTATGGCTTACAGAGGTGTTTAAACCAGGGCTACAGCTCTTCGGCATCTCAGAATGTATTTTGAATGAAAAGACACACACATGGAGCAGTTGGATGACAAGCCAGCATGTAATAAAGTGCTAAACTGTGTGGTACAGACAAGTGCAAAAGGAATTAGCAGTATGCGGATGCACCCCACGGCTGTACTGCCTTGACTATGGAGGCTTTAATTTACATTGAATCTAATCATTGTTCTTTACTTAACTTTCTCATGACAAACACATATGACCTGTTAGTATATAAAATCTTTCTGTTCCACCATCCAGGGACAAATGAAGACTAAGAAAAGAGGAATTGTATAAAGCAATAGTTATCTAAAAATAAAGAATACAATATGTGTTCTCAGAAATAAACTGGCAATGGAATAAAATGAAGAGGCTTTTAAGAATTTAATAATCCTAAAAAATGATTCCTTATATCTTTCAAGTAAATTAACAACAACTATAGCTTTGGCATAGGGGGTCTTCCCCTACAAATATGCACTTGTCACCATTACATATCATGCATGCTGTATGCATGCTATATATGCATGCTAATTGATGGTCACAAATAATCAAACATATAACTCTAAATAAACTTGCAGGTCTTTCAAGTTTGTTAACATTTACCTGGGCTGGTTGTTGTAATTCTAGAAAAATACTCACTCATTATTCTTATATTTTATTTGGCTAAATGATTTAGCCACCACTACTCATGGTGAGTAGAGAAATTGGAACCTACTCCTCTTTGCTGCAATTTTTTTTTTCAAAATCACATGGGACTCATTAGTTATGTTCAGTATTAGTGTCTATGAGTAATGAAGTCTTTGGATTCACAAAGCAATTGAAGTTCAATAGATGAAAACTCCATGGTACCTTTCAGTATCAAGTTTCTATAGGTATTTAAACAAATTATATAAAATATGATTTCAAGAATTCCCTTACTCCTTGTACCCAATCCTAGAGAGACCAAATTAGCATCTAGGTGTACACATTTTTAAGGGGTAAAAACAAGATGATGAACCTCCATATTCTCTCATCGTTGCCTTCTACATCTGAGGGACTCTCCAGTAATTCCAGTTGCCACTGTGTTATGTCTGTCACGGAAACCCAAAGAGCTCTCACTTGAAGTAGATTGCCCTTTGATCCCATTTCTTCTCAGGAGTGATGTGGTTGTTGTGCAAACTAAAAGGTGCAGAGATGGCTGGGCTTTCCAGTGTACATCCCAGGCTGTGGAGAGAAGGGCAGGAATGCTCTGAACCCAGCATTCCATTAATAGCTGAGCACAGCAGAGCCATCCATGGGCTCACCTGACCCACGGTGCATCCAGGTGCTGAGTATTTAAGCACTGAATAGAAGGTGCAGCACGGCTCAGTGCAGACTTTCAACCCTCTAAGCTGGGCCTGTGATCTCAGAAAACTGCTTCAAATGAAAATCAGTTCCCTCTGTACTCTAAGGAGAGTAGTTAATCTTTATCATGACAACTTAAGGCCATGACCAGATTGAATGGCATCGCTGAGAGCTCTGCTTCCTAGCCCAGAGTGTTTTCCTGGTTGGCAATGGATCTTTAACCCTTCCTGGGGCTCCAAGTCATGTAGCTCTGGAGGGCTTGGAGCATTGTTTGCTTTGTATTAATAATGTTCAAATGAACCTCGAAACCACCAATGGAAAATTCCGGTCCCAAGGAAACTATATTTTTATAAAGATTAAGGCACTCCAACTGTTAAATTATTTAAGATAAAACTATACAGAATGTTATCTTTTTCCACTCATAATCACGAACACTTTCCTTGCAGTTTTCTAGTGCTCCTTCTTCCTCCTCCTTGTACTTGCATTTTTGGATATCTTTAGATAGAGCAAAGTTCAATAGATCTACATTTTCCTGCTCCACAATTCAGCAATTTGTTATTAAGCTCCTCTCCCCAAACAAAATAATCAAACACATCAGTCAAAAGGTATGATTCAGTGATTGATTCTTAAGGTGCGTATCCACAACTACTGCATGATTATGATGAGACACATCAGCCCTTGGAGCAGGAATGCCGGGAGGAATATGCCAGATAAAATTCTAACAGCTTACAAGAAATTATGTATAACTGAAATTCTGGGGAAAATGTCTAAGTATTTAAAAGATGTATAAGAGATACAAAACAGTGATTAGTTTGTATCTATTTACTTAAAATTTATTTCAGTATGCTGGGTTTTTTCCCCCAAGCTCTACATCAAAAGTTTTCAAATATCGTATAATTTCTTATCCTTAATTTACAGAATTCTTTCCCATTCCCACCCCCCGAAAAAGGATCATGAATTATTTTTTTAGGCATTATTACCAAACTTGGTCAGATGTGTATCTATCTGATCTCCCTGTAAACATCTCAAAGGCTGTAAAAGCTAAATCAGAAACAAACAGTGATTCAAATCTTCTAGCTGGAAGATTTAAATACAAAAACATTCACCAGTAGAATATTCAACCAAGGTGCCCAGCTCTTAATCATCTTTTGGCTCCAGTCTGAATAATCCTCTAAATAACACAGCATAGTCAAGGCAGTACAGCCGTGGGGTGCATCCGCATACTGCTAATTCCTTTTGCACTTGTCTGTACCACACAGTTTAGCACTTTATTACATGCTGGCTTGTCATCCAACTGCTCCATGTGCGTGTCTTTTCATTCAAAATACATTCTGAGATGCTGAAGAGCTGTAGCCCTGGTTTAAACACCTCTGTAAGCCATACAATCCTTAACATGGTACCGTGCACATAATAGAGTTTATACTTGTGGGTTATTTGTACTTTTAGAAACTTCTTGGGTAAAATGCATCCTGGAAAACGTTTCAAGACTTGCTATTTCTGCTGAGGTTGTCCACAAGGAGGCAGATTAGTACTCAACAAATAACTTGGCATTTTTTTTCTTTTATAATTAGACCTAAAATCACTCGCTCTTCTGAGGATCGCTATTAGCATTGAATAGTGGCCAAGATCAATTTGATAGAATCACTAATACTTAACCACTTTGTGTTAAGTTCATAAACAGATCACAACCTGTACAATTTTTAGTAATATTATTTCCCACTAATCAATATCAGCTATAGCAACAGAGGCAATCCAAGTTTAAAAGACAGAGCAAAGTTCAACAGACCTACATTTTCCTGCCCTGATAATATATTCCTATTTAGTAGAATCTTTTAGTATGTAGATTAAGATACTACAGATCTCCCAAAATAAAATGAATATGTGTGTGTATACACACATACAGAGAGAGATTTTATTTATGTATTGGAATCCACTTAACCAGAAGTATAAATATCTTTTACTCTCTAAAATTTTGTTTCTGAGTAAAACATCATGTGTATATACAAATAAAAAGAAACCATGATGTATTAGTAAATTAAGTGCCATAATCAATTTATATTTTATATGGGATGTATGAATATATAAATTCCAGTTTTTATTTTAACAAACCATACCAATGAGGCCTAAGACTGCATGCCCACACGTTTTTGTTTTGGGGGTGCTTGTGTTAACACAATTAACTTACAGATCATCGGGACAATTTCTTGGTGGCTCCAGTCTCCCTCCCGTTTGCACATAGTTTAAAACATCGAGGTTGGAATGAGCTGGATAAGGCTGATGACCAAGAGTTAAAATCTCCCAAATCAAAATTCCAAAAGACCTAAGGATATTAAAGGGTTTGCTTTAATTATACTTATTACAAAAAGAGTTCTACAGTAGTTTCTCCAGCATCATTTTTCCTGGGTCTGTCAGGGTCTACTTTGTGTTTGGCATAAGGCCCCATAAAAGGAGATCTAAAAGCAAGTTGACCTTAAGAAAAAGTAGAACAAGCATTGCATATGAGCAACATTTCAAAAGGGATAGGGAGGCTTGGGAGGTGCATATACACACACACAGAGACAGACACACACACTCAGACACACACACATATGCACACACATGCGTACACACATGCACGCCTGCTCACTCTGTTTCTCCTCTGGCTGAAACCCTACTGCAGGCTTTCATTACCTAAGGTTTTCGGCGCAAACACTTAGGAATGAGCGAGAGAGCATTTCGCCATTTTTCCCCCTAGTTTGAAAGGGATAGAGTGCTTTCCTAGTAAACTTGAAGAGGGAAGGCAGGAGTAGAAACTAGCAACACTGAGGACCAATTTTATCTCATCTCCAATTTTGCCTAGGGCAAGCTCAGCTTATAAGTCATTGAACAAATCTTTGCATTTTGAGCAGTTCTAATCAAAAGTTGGGGGTCCACAAGCAAAAATGAGGAGTCTTATCCAAATAATAAGGAGATGTGCAAATAAATCTCCCCAAGGTCCTATTCTTTTTGCAATCCATGATTTAAAGTTTATCTATAAATTAATGATCAAATATCCCAAAATAGTAGGCATTTGGGCATATACTTGGACATTAATTCCTAAGTACCAATTCCTATCAGTTATATGCTCTTACATCTTTGGAGTGTAATAAAATACTTGAAAGTAAATGTATCTATTTCATAAACATTAGTAACAGAAAGGATCAAAACTGACTGGGTGGGTGTGAACTGCTGAGATCAAGAATCATCCCTCCTTGACCACCAGTTTTCACTTTAACTTGAGGCAAATCACTTAACCTATCTGGTCTTCTGATTTCTCACATAAAAAAGCAAGATCAGATGTCCTGTTGAGATCCCCTCTGCCTCTGACGTTTCATGGTTCTGCCCATGTTTCTCTGTGTCCCATTAAGCTCACCACACATCAGACTGAGTAGTGAAGATTCCATCCATCAAACTTTCTGGAGCCATCCACCGAACAGGGAGCAGGCCTTCCCCTCTCTTTCTATAGTAGTCATTTTTGTAGATGTCCCTCGCGAGTCCAAAGTCCCCGATCTTCACTATCCGTGAAGGACTGGTATAATCTTTCACAGAGACGAGGCAATTCCGAGCTGCCAGATCCCTAAGACAGAAGCTATATTTAATAATAATGACAATAATAACAATAAAGTTCCAGAGATCAAAGAAATAACACTCTTAGGTCTGTAGAGAAGAGAAACTTTTTTACAGAAATTATTGCTATTTTGAAGGAATGAAAATGTTTAATCATCTTGTGTGTTTTACCCAAACTACAGGTGATTATCGTGCCAATATCCATAATAACCTTGAATCCAGAGTATCATTGTACCTGTGAATGAAGTGCATCTGCTCCAAGTAGACACAGCCTTTTGAAATATCTACACACAGGTCTACAAGGTCAACCAAGGTGAGTAAAGGACCATGAAACTGTAAGAAATGAAGGAAGAATTACAGGCACTCTTCTAGTTTGCACAAAATATACGTATATGTACAAATATATGTAGATACATATATATTCATATATGTATATGATGTTTTAGAAAAATTTTTAGTTATGGTTACAAGAATTCAAACAGGAAATGACTAAATATATATACTTTCTATTCCAATATACATAAATAAATGACAGATGATGTTTAGTAAGCAGAGACGATATGGGATCTTTATTGGAAAGATCTCTGAGTGTAAGGTCAGACAGATCAAGATGTGAAACCTAGTTCTGCTACTTACTAGTTGTGTGAAGTTGCTTAACCCATAAGCAACTTTCTTACATGTAAAATGGGCAATAATACTGACCTTGCAAGATTCAAGGTAAGATATGTAATGTGGCAGGTACATAACAAGCACTTAATGAACAGTAGCTGCCCTTATCAGTAGTAATAATGATCGTTTAATCAGTGCTAGCTAGTTTAACTATTGGCCCAGTGGCACTCTATCATGCCAGTCATGACAATGGGCTTGTTTCTCATATAAGCCCCATATAAATGATTTACTAGTAATACTCCATTTCAAGGTCACAGATTACTCCTCACATCTAAGTGAGCAAACACGAGCATACACTTGAGCCTGTACTGGTTGCAACGATTTCTAGGTTAAAAAAAGAAAAAAAGCCAGTAGAAGTTTTTATTAGTACCATAGGGAAAAAATGTAAAGTTCCTACCATGAGGCTATATTCACACACTGTCTGCTCCTTCCCATTTCCCTGCAATCTCCCTGGTTCAGCCCTTTTAAAATCATCCCTAATCTGTTGCATTCAAAAATTTCCCATGTCTCCAGTCTCCTCTGCTTTCATTAGTTTGTCTTGCTGTATAAATTCCTGAGCACAGCCTCCCCGACAGCACCCCCAGGCTGCACAGCCTCTCTCAAAGTCCATCTATGTCCTACTGTTTCCCCTTTCACAATCTGTGCTTCAGTCGCACTGGGCCACTTGCCATTCCTCATAGCTGCTCTGCATTTCTCAGCCTCTCTTGGGGCAGACAGGCATATGTACCTTTCTGACTCCACACGATCCCCATGCTCTCTGGCAATAAGGGATGTATTTTCCCATGAAATACTAAAAACAGACTCAAATGACCAGAAAATGCCAGAATGTTAGCCCAGGGTTCTATATTTCCCCAATCCAACATGAAAGAAATATAAGTTCTTTCCATAGAAGTCTTCTAAGGTTTTACCACCAGCCCAAATCGTAGTCTATCGAATTTAAAGAAAATTAATAGAAAAGTATAGGGCATTTGCCAATACCAATACCAATACCATGGACTCCACCGCCTACCGTTGTCATCCGGGCTTTACGCAAATAGGTAAGAAGGTCTCCTCCTTCCATCAGTTCCAGGATAATGTACTGGGGTTCATTCAGCAGACAGACTCCAAGCTGCTTCAGAATGTTGGGATGATTAAACTTGCTGAAAAGTAGAAAGACACAGGCTGGATGACAAGGCAGCAACAGGAGTCCTAGCTCAGGGTCTTAAAAACCCCTGGCTTATTTCCTCTAATAAATAAAAAGCTTCCTTTTCCAAGCACTGTTTTGTGTGCTTGCCTTAAGGAGGTAATATGGCAACCCCTAGTGGCCCCTAGTGGCCAACACATATGGATAAAATAAGTTGTTTTTTAGAAGAAATAACATTTGTATTAAGCATTTTATGTTTTGGAAAAGAAAGTAATTTTGACTAATAGTCTTCTTGAAAAGATATTTGAAAACATCATGTTTTTGGTCGTCACAAGTATGAAATATAGACTCTCGCTTTCAGAGAAACAACTCAGCCATACAGGTTTGGCCACACAGTTTTCTCAAGACATTAAACCAATAAGCCCCAATTTAATGATTGGAACCTAGAGCTCAGGACCCCATCGACCACTGTCTCAAGTCTTCCCTTTAAGACGTCCTTGAGCAGTTTTCATGACCATAAACTGACAAACTTGCAGACAAGTTTACTAAGAAAAGGGTTATTTTCACTGACATCCTAGGACTTAAGAAAACTCTCTCCTACCGTATCTATTTGACCCATTATCACACATTTAGATGAACACAGCATGTTTAAAGCTGAAGAGCTTCAAAATTCACTTGCAAAACATGCTCCTTATTGAAGATAAAAGAAAGAAGGACCTTTTGCCTGAGGACTGACTACACCTGGACTCAGAAGACTGGCTTCTATAGACTACTTGTTACTACAGACATATTTCCATTTAAACTTTTCAACCATGTTTGTTTTAAGCATGATCTGCTATTTCATGTAATTTTGGATGTTGAAAATTGACCGAGCAGATTTAAAAGCTTCCTACCCATACCAAGAGAAAATTATTTCAGGGCTACCTCATCAGATGTGCCTCCTTTAGGAATTCAATCTTTTCCTGGTCTGTAGAACCCTTCTTCAAAGTCTGTTCAACATAAAAACAAGTCAGGAATCAGTATAGCAGACATTTCCACGAGCTCAGTGGATTAGTGGAGACAATCTTTGTTCTGTTTCATTTTGTTTTGTAATATCTACCCTGAAAGCTGGAAACAGATCATAGGTAAATCATGTGCGGGTGCTCTGTAAACCTACTCAAACGTTAGTTCCTGTTAGTGCTACTGTTCAAGTAGGAAAAGCTGCTAGATAAGGATCTAGTAAAATTTATGCAGAGTCCCTCCAAAATGTAGAAATTTTAAAACAGACCAAGTTTGGCATTTAAGCCAATTTCTTAATTTTCAAAATTTTCTACTCAATATCTGTTTCCCCCATTTCCTTGCTAATAATACTTTAACTTATTTCATGGAGGCAAGGTGCCCAGTCCTAAGCGATTGGTCTAAGATAATCATGAAAATTGTGTTTTGAAATTCTCCATCCTGCCTTGCAAAGGAGTGGCCATATGACTCTGTGCTGGTCAATGAAATGTAAGAGAAAAACTGCTGAGAGGGGGAGAGAGATTTGTAGAAAATTTTTACTTTCCTGAACGTATACATCTAGCACCATCCTTCCCCCTCTCCCTGGCCTGAATGAAGATGTGATGTCTGATTCTCTGGCAGCCATCTAGGGACCATGAGGCAGCAAGCATGTACAAAAGCCAAGAGAATCTCAGAGGTAACTGGACTCTTACCTGACATACTACACTGCACCAAAGCCAGCAGTATCTTGTTATGAGAGAAAAATAAACACTTGTTTAAAATAGTTGAAGTTGAAGAACTTTTAAATGGCATAATTTGAAAGTGGAGAGAATTTTGCAATCTGTTCTAGTTGTATGGCCCACCCTCAAATCAATAAATCTCTAACAAGCAGTGATCAGGATATTGCTCAATTACCAAAAGATTCATCATCCCTTAACAAAACAAAGTTTTATAAAAATGAGAGTATGTCCAGTGCTTCCTTAAAGATACACTAAATATACCATGATGAATACTTGTATAGTACAGAAGCTGACAAACTACAGCCTGTGGGTAAATCCAGTCTATCACCTATTCTTGTAGAGCCTGTGATCTGAAACTAGTTTTTACATTTTTAAATGGTTAAAAAGTCCAGAGAATAATATTATTTCATGACACATGAAAATTATGTGAATTCAGATTTCAGTGTTCATAAATATGTATTGATACACAGCCACACTCATTCATTTACATGTTATCTACGACAACGCAATGGCGGAGTTGAGGAGTTGGAACAGAGACTACATGGCCAGGAAGATTAAAATATTTACTATCTGCCCATTTAAGAAAACATCTGATGACCCCTCTAGTACCTTGAGAATATGTTTTACAAACATGTTTTACAGTTCTCTTATAGCATGTTTGAAGCAAAATAACTGTGTGCCAGGTCTTAGCTAATTAGTAGTCGTGGAGGTAATGTAAACCCTGAAGATTTTCTGTTGATTACAGAACCTATATAGGAAATTTAAAAAAAATGTCATTTCTATAGCTATAGATAGACTTTTACATTCTACTAGTCCTCTTTTCAACTAAGAGCATTCCACTCTTAATATAGTTGTATCAATGCAAATCCATGTGGATATGGTGACATAACATGTCAAGGAGGTCGAAGATCCACATTACCTTGACTGCTACTTTGAGTTCTCCACTTCCAACTCCTAAGATGTCTACTGCTGTCCCTTCATACACTTCTCCAAAGGCTCCACTTCCCAATAAGAGACGTAGGGTCAGTTTTTCCCGAGGGAAGGCAGGAAGATTTTCAATCTCCTCTTGGGTTGGAAGAGTACTATAAAATAACAATATTTTTGTTCTAACAAAATACATATGGTTTACAAGTTTGTGTTGGTATTGATGTTTGCATTTGAGAGAGAAAGAGAAATCTCATGGCATTGCAGCACTGTGCATTCTATGCAACACAGTGACATGGGAATTTTGTGTTCCTATTACACTTCTCTATTCTACCATCTTTTACTGATAGAACATGTCTCTCCGTTTCTAGGCTTCTTCCTTTTGATAGAAATATGCATATGTGTGCGTTGCCTCAAGATTTTTATTGTAGCTTGTTCTGTTAAAGTTAATAGTTATTAACTTCTTCAAACTGCCAATTTATGTAAAACGCTATTGCAAATTAGGAATAAATGCATCTGGGTCTATGAGCTTTCTTTTTAACTGTTTCACACACCTGATATCTTATGTACAACAAAATTTATTGTGACCACAAAAATCAACTCTATCACCACTAGATTAACTTTTAGAAAGTCAATCTTCTCACTTGGAATACTGTGAGGAAAAAAAAGCCTCTATATTACAAATGCTTTGAGTTTTTAATAGAGAACCTTGAATAGCAGATATGTGGAGTATTTTCTCAAAGAAAAGTCACCTCTGAATGGCTGATTTAGGTCACCTTTGTGTCTACTTCAAACCTTTGTTTTTATATCTTGAATTATAAATCTCTAAAAGCAAGGCCTATGACCACATTATTCCTTTTTGCATAGATCATAATATAGTGTCTCATGCAAAGAAACACTTAAACATTTTCCTTAATTATGATGACAACAGAAGTTCAAAACTCGTTTTTCTTAAAGAGGTTTTTGTAGGCAATCACCATGCAACTTCTGAAACAGAGTAAGACTGACTGAATAGCCCATAAACGAGGCCCTTGGAATTCCTCTTCTTTCAAATACTGCTTCCAATTAAACCAACTATGTTACCATCCACTCTCTTGAATATAGTGCTCATCTCATTCTTTAATTTATTTTTGAACTACATGATAAAACACTGGAAAACAATGTATTTTTCTGTATTTCCCTTACTGCAGTGGTCCTCAACCTTTTTGCCAGTAGGGACCATTTTCATGGAAGACAATTTTTCCACGGACAGGGAAGGAGGGGATGGTTTTGGGATGTTTCAAGTACATTACATTTACTGTGCACTTTATTTCTATTATTATTACATTGTAATACATAATGAAATAATTATACAACTCACCATAGGTTGGGGACTCCTGCCTTACAGGATAACCCCATAATTTGCCAACTATCCCAAGGTCACATTTGAGAGTGGAAGGGAAGTTATTAATAATTATGTCAGAAATAATAGGCACACACCAGGACTGCCCTGGGCAATGCAGGATACAGGGGCACTGTTGTCACTGCTGCCCACCCTTTGCCTAGGTGCTCCATAATGATGGCCCAGGCTACGTACTGTATCGCATAGCAGGCATTAGCCAGGCCTACTCCAGCTGCCAGACCCTGTAACTCAGCCATCTCTTTGTCTTCGTTTACGAGAACTGCTGGCCCTTCCTTGGGAGGTTTTTGATTCTTTAATCTTCTATGCCAGACTACAAAGAAAAAATGACATAATTTACAAAGTAAAATATTGCTTCATTCTTCTTTAGGAAATATTAACAGTGCATTTTAAATGTTTATAAACAAGAACATGATTGGTAGAATAGTTGTAGAGTAGAATTTTTTATAACTTGATTTAAAAATATGCCCATAATAGAAAAACTAATTAAATTCAGGTAAAAAAAAAAAAGCCATATAAAAGCACACAATTTATACCACGTGACTTTTCATCTCGCTTCTTACAGTAAACAAATTAAAGTATCTTAATATTAGAACTGATTTCTCAAAATCACCCATAAACTAGAGTCAGAATAAACTAAAACAAACTATATAATAATTATTAGTGAAACAAATTCATTTTTGAGTTTAGTCATATCCAGTTATACTCCCCGGTAGACTTAAGGAAATGCTTTCAGTATGATGGCACATTTTTTTAAATGCATAGTACAAAAGTGTATATCCATTGTTGTTCATATTCACATACGCAAATACATAGGAAAATTATTGGAATGAAGCTTACTAAATGTTAGCAGTGCCCCCCCAGCTGTGGAATTATGAATGATTTGTATGTCTTCTTCATACAATTAGCAGGTATTTTTATAATGATAAAAGAAAGTGATTTTTTTAAGGATAAAATACAATTATGTCAATAAGATCGCCCATCTATACTAGAATATTGGCTCAGAAGTTGAAAATAGCGAGGATGCTTTGAGAGATGATCATTACAATTTGAACTTTACTTCCCGGTAGCTTCTGTACCCAAGAGGTCAGAGTTTTATTCAAGTGAAATTCCATCTGAGGGACCACAAAGTGAAAAATTGAAATTACCTTTGCTAATGGAATTTTTCAAACTTGAAGTGCTCTCACCATTTCCTTTCATTTCTTTTTATTTCAGAATTTTATGGGGGTACACATGTTTTGGTTACATAATTTGCTTTTGCACATTTTTTAAAGCCCAGCATAAGCCCCACATGCTCAGTGATGCTTTCTGAGACCTCTGCTAATTTCTCATCTCTGAACTTAAAAGACTACTTGTGCCTTTCAGTGTTTCTCCTATGTCATTGTCTTGTATATTTCATGTGAGATTGTCTTTTATTGTTTATTATTTAGCACATACCTTGCTATTTATCTTTTTACACAGGTATGTCTCGCCTCCATCTTTAAATGGCAAGATCCTGAGGTCTGCAATAGTATTTTACTGCTTCACGTTTCCCTCTACTCCCAGCATAAGGCTAATGTTGTACATTAGATACGGCCACTCACTGAAGCAAAGGCTGCCAATGCTTATTTTTGAACATTTGTCTCAATTTTACATTTAGAAATATAACTGATGAGAGCCCTCAGCACAATGCAAATTTTAAAATCATTGCTACTTTTCATTATTTTAATGACTCAATCTTTTCTCATGCATTCACACACTCTTACTGGCAAAACCACATGCACTGCTACTAAAAGCAAAGAACTGAATTAGCTTAGCTATACTCAAAAATCCGTGAATTCCAAACAGAATAAAGACCTTTAAGTCCTGAGAAAGTCAGATATCCATAGGATGTCTTGAAAGCACAATAGGTTGTGTCTGAAATTATCTCATATTCATCCACTAGAGTGATAGGTTTAAACAATGGTGATGTACAAGTAAGCACGCAAAGGTCAGATGAAGGATTCTTCATGCAATGCTCCTTCCCAGTAGGAAAGCAGACAAACAGTCAAGCCTATATGCCAACTGCCAAATGCACTGCAGTCATATGCGTAATTCTGGAGGGGCTGGCTTAGTGGCACAAACATCAGCTGTGCAATACTTAGACTCTCTGGAACCACAGGTTAAAATCCTGGCAGGGTCAGCTGAAATTTTTAGCTTTCCAAGTTAGCTGAAGGAGTTCCACATATTATCTGGGTGGAATCTTTGAAAAGAAATCTCAAATCAGGTTTCAAAATGCTCTCTGATAGCTTATAACTCCAGTTAGTTTGGAGAAAGAATAAAGATTTAGAACACAGTGAAATATTGGCTTTCTTTATCCTGAGAGAGTTCGACTTTATGTTTGTAACTTTCCTTTAACTTTCCCTTGTAACTTTCCCTTATTTATGAACAAAATAAACCTCCTGAATGTATGTTTAAGTGTTCTTTTCTTATAAATGCCATGCCTTTTTTGTAATGCTTTGGTATGTCAAGGATTCTTAATAGATAAGGGGACCATATAGCTTATTACCCAAAGCAGGGCATCATGGAGACTGAAAAAAGTGCTATTAAATATTTGTGCTGAAACAAGAATAAAGCAGAATGTACGATCACTATGATAACCCTACAAGCCCAATATTTGACTATTCCTTTTGCAATTGTCACTGCATTTTCTCATCATTAAACTAAATCTTTAAAAAAAAAAAAAAAGACTTTTTAGGACTGGCACATTAGTATAAAATAAATAGTGGGAAATAGCTGATTTCTATCTACCTAACCTATTCTTCTGCTTTCCTGGTCATTTATAAATGAGTAAGGACTTGAAATAAGCAGATCAAATGTCTGAAAGCAAGAGTAGATCCTCCAAGCCAGAAATGGATCTTCTGCAAAAGAGGCCCCGCTCATTCCAAACCAGGCTGTCTGCCTAGAAACCAAAACTATTCTGACCAGAGTGTCACTGGCCTCCCATTAATCCTATACTTTTTTCATACCTAGGGTTATTTTTCTTTTACTTATTTCAAACTATAAGCTATAAAACACTTGTTATGCAGCCAGTCAGAAACAATAATGTTTCAAAGAAAGCTAAAAGTTTGTGCCCTTGCAAGTAGTTTTATCTAAAGTATACCATGAAATATACATACAGTTATATTTTTCATGAAGTAGTTATGCCTAGATCAGCAAAAAAAATTCACAGAAGTTAGTGGTCGTAAGAGTATAACCAAAGTAACTGCGAATTTTATGAATTTATTTAATAAGGTAATATTTCATGTAGGAGATTAGATAAACTAAGAGATAAATCAATCAGTATGATCAAGTAAACAGTTTATTATCTACTTTTAAAATCTATGATACAGGCTGGGCGCGATGGCTCACGCCTGTAATCCTAGCACTCTGGGAGGCCGAGGCAGGCGGATTGTTTGAGCTCAGGAGTTCGAGACCAGCCTGAGCAAGAGCAAGACCCCGTCTCTACCAAAAATAGAAAGAAATTAATTGGACAGCTAAAAATATATAGAAAAAAATTAGCCGGGCATGGTGGCGCATGCCTGTAGTCCCAGCTACTCGGGAGGCTGAGGCAGAAGGATCGCTTGAGCCCAGGAGTTTGAGGTTGCTGTGAGCTAGGCTGACGCCACGGCACTCACTCTAGCCAGGGCAACAAAGTGAGACTCTGTCTCAAAAAAAAAAAAAAAAAAAAAAAATCTATGATACTTACCAAAGGTCAATGGGATTGTAACAATCAGAAATATTCCAACTATAATAGTAAATATAAAACTTGTTTCTGGTATCCCAAAACCATCTAATGATACAAATGAGAAAAAGAAATTAATTCACAGAATAAAGCTAAACAGTTCCAGTTATACCTAAGCACACATAGAGTGATATGCCAAAGCTAGCTATTACTGGATTCTTGCAAGCCAGTTGTTAAACAGGTAACTTGAAATCATCCATGCAGAGAGTATTTACACCATGGGGAATCAAAATCAAGGTGTTTCCCAGAGAGCCAGTTAACCAACACACCATTGGAATATACCCACTCAATCTTCTACTTTCAAATAACTGGGAAAACATGCATATCTTTTTAATGAACTTGGGACAAAGAAATCTCAGTCTACATATATTAAATTGTTTGGATTTTTTTAATAGTATCTTTTTTTTTTTTTTTTTTTTTCATTTCATACTTTCACATTTAATTTCATGGGTATTAAACTGAGGAATAGATATGGTACCTTCTCTTAGTAGTTTCAGTTGTGTAGAAGAAACAAACATGTAGGCCAGAGTTTGGCAAACCATGGCATGAGGGACAAATCTGGCTGCAGTCTGATTTTGTACCCACTGTCGCACCCCTGCCATGAGCTAAGAATAATTTTTACATTTTTAAAGTACTATTTTTAAAAAGAAGAACATGCTATGGAGATTGGGTGTAGCCTGCAAAACCTAAAATATTTACTATTTGGTTCTTTTCAGAGAAAGTTTGCTAAGATGTTATGTAGACAACTAAATATAATACGAATGAGAATAATCTAACTTTTATGTGGAATGTGCATGTGTAAAATGCAATAATTCACTTTGCGTGAGGAACATCAGTGAAGCATCTCTATGGGTTCATTTAAGTTATATCTTGAAAAGTGAGATGAATTTCAACTGGCAGAAAATGAAGGAAAGGAAATCCCAGCTAAGGGGCACAGGGTAGGTGTCAGGGACCTGTATTCTAGGCTGAGGGACACACAAGGCCAAAGACCCTGACATAAAAGCTTTTTACCAGTCTGATATGGCCACAGCATAGGCATATAGATTGGGAAAGATGAACCACAATTGAAAAACAAATCACAGAAGGCCTTACATGCCACACACGTTTGTAGTTGATTCCAAAGGCAGTGAATGGAGAGCTATTGTGGGTATTTCAGAGAGAAGTTAAGTACTCCAGCTTGTGCTTCAACTAGATTAACTGTCAGCAGTGTGATTAAACCAAGAGCACAGACGAGAAACAATACCTTAAATTAGGAAAGCCAGGTGGAAATAGGAAGATGGGAACTCATCAGAGAGAAATTGAGATGGTAAAATTGATAGAATTTGGTGACTGAGTAGAAAGAAAAATCACAGAAGGCACTGAGATTTCTAGCCTACGTGATTAAAATGATAATGTATCACAAGCTCAAATAGAAGTGGAAGAGACAGAATAGTTTTAGGGCTTGTGTATAAGGTGAGAGTAGCAGGAACAGGATAATAAGGCTGGATAGAGAGAGTCAGATCAGATTGTAAACAGCCTTGGAAGCCCATTTAGGAGCATGGAATTGGTGTGGTAGGCATTAAGGAGCAGCTGATTATTACCGAGGAGAAAAATGATATGATGATAATGATGTTTTAGGAAGATTACATCAGATGAATTGAATAGTTTAATAGTTTGGATGATAAGATATATAGTCACCATTTATCTATCGCTAATGTTAAGAATGCACTGATCTTTATCACTGAACTTTTATGTAATAAGCTAGTGTGTAGATAGATGTGGTAACATACCTCCAACTAATATAATGTTCTCACTGATTCCACTATATTCACCAAACCCCAGATTATTTGCAGCTACTACTCTGAACTGAAATATTCCTTTCAGGTTTTTGGACTTCCATGTGCAAATGCTACTGCAGGATCCATTAAATGTCATTTTCCACCTTAAATTCAGGTCCTGTGAATCATTTGAAGTGACCTCTCTGCAAAAGAAACAGTAAGATAGTAAATAAAATATCATGGCAATATATGTGTTATTTCTAGTTGCTCGTATATCATTTAAATGACAGAACTCCAGAGTCTCCTTTCACGCACATTGCCCTTGATCTCATTCCTCTCACATGATTTGGCTACAGAACACAGCATGGTTTTATAAAGAGATCCCAGTGACGCATGGAGCTAACTCACTCAGCCCACCAAGAAACTTATGAATAATCAATGGCCAAGAGAAATCTGAAGATCCTTTTCCTACTAATTAGAATGTGTAAACTTTATTCAGAATTCCAAACTTATAAGACAATTATTCCATAATTTATAACCAGGAAGTTTCAATTTTCCTAATTTTCAGTCCTGTGTTATTTGTGCTTTGTTCATACCATGTATGGACAAAATACAAATTATGAAATTGATAAGGAAGGTGTTATAGTTCAGCTGCCAAAGTTATCATTATATCTGAGATTCTAAGGTTCACTGCTTCCTTTTGTATTGATGTAATCGAGTTAAGATGAGGTCATGCTAGTTTAGGGTGGGCCCTAATCCAATGACCAGTGCCCTTATAAGAAGAGGGAAATTTGGACACAAACACACCCAGGGAGAACACCATGTGATGAAGAGGGCAGGGATTGGAGCAAAGCATCTATAAGCCAAGGAACACCAAGAATTGCCAGCAAACACCAGAAGCTAAGAAAAGGCAAGGAAGGATTCTTCCCTAGAACAGTTAGAAGGAGAATGGTCCTGCTAATACCTTGATTTTATACTTCTATCCTCTAGAACTATAAGAATATATTTCTGTTGTTCTAAGTCACCCAGTTTGTGGTATTTTGTAATGGCAGCCCCAGGAAACTAATAAAGTGTGTTCAGCCCCCAAATTCATATACTTTGCACTATCACTGCACTACAGAGAGTCCAACTAGAGTGTCCTGACTGAAGAACTTACTTTGAGATACTGAAGTTACAACAATTCATTCTGTCATTATAGTCCATGTCCTGACATTGAAGACCTGGCGCAAGGAGTATGGAAAGTATTTAGAAGGAGTTACTTAAGTAACACTTAAGGTGTTACTGAGAGGAACACACTAAAGGGGTCCTAGCAAGAACCATGGTGTGGCCTGGTTGGTGAACATAATTACAGCCACAGATGACCAACACAGTTCTGCAGGTCAGAATGTATTACACTCTTCATGAAAAACAGTAACAGAAACTTCAAGAAGTTTTCAATTAGAAATATGGCCAAAGGAATTCTCTAGCATGAGCAGAAAAACTTTTTAAGGTTATGGAAATGCCAGAGCACGATGAAGCAAAAATAGATCTAAAGCTCAAGCTTCCAGGACTGTAATCATGGAAGTGACTTTTGTCCTTGGAGCTTCTTAAAAGATGGTTTCATAGTCCCATGAGGGACTTTGGAATTTGGAATTCTCCCCTCAAGTTGGCATGAAATAAGTCCTTCTGAGCCAGTTATGGTTCACCGAGCTCCCCATACTGGCCAGGTCTGTGGATGTTCATCAGCGGCTGGTTTTCACTGATGGTGCATTTTCAGTCCCTGGGAATACACTGCAGACTGTAATCTTTACAATGTGTGACCTATACACTTCAGACAATTTCAGACCTTGACCTAATTTTACATTATGAAAAATGCCTAGTTCATTTACAATTGTCACTAGAGAGCATTCACCTTGCTAAAACAAATTATCACCAGATACTTACATGCTTACCTTCATCTAACATGAAATATCAGCTCAGCTTCTTAAAAAGAATAGTTGTTAAGTAAATATCTGTTGCATGAGCCTATGATCAAATGATTTTCATAAAGTTTGATGAGCAGTTACAGAGTTCTGAGAATGATATGATGTGCCTTATAGTTAAAGTGCCAAGACTGACCTCTAGGAATTGTACAAAGAATGTAGTGATGCACACAAGGTCCTTAAACTAAGGATCCTTTTTGTTTATATCTAAAGATACTTTAATATATATTGTTACTTTTGATCACCTTACAATCAACTGCTTAGCTCTTTGTAGTTTACAAAGTACTTTTGCAAACAGACGTACCTGATCTCAAGGATATAGTACATAAGTCTATTTCCACTATCTTCAGCTTTTTCCCATTGTATTGAATTTTTACTCCCTTCTAATAATTTGGGAATGCCTGGTTTAGTTGGGACTCCAGCTTTGGAGGGAAAAAGAAAATACTGATTGATATGTTAGAAGTATAAATATTCGGCATTGACATCTTTCTATAGAACATGTTTATTAAGAGGAAAGACAATACATTAAAGAAATATTCAGAAATAATCCAATATGAGTACATAATTTTAAATGAGTATCTGAAGTTTTCATTAGTGATGGACTAGATGGATTAATGATAGTATTAACAATATATCTCAGCTTAACACAAAATAAGTGATAAATGTAAATAAAAAAGCCATCATAAGTTTTGGAGCATTTTCCCTCCATTTTTATGAGGATCAACTTGGAGTTATGGTATATCTTCCAAAACACTAGTTAACTTAATGGACTTTTTAGATTTTTCATTTTTAGTATCTGGAACATAATAGCCACTTAATAAGTGTTTGTTGAACACTCAGTAACACTATTTTCAAAATGTCAAAGCTAGACAGAAAATCAGAATGCTGAAAGGAGAAATAATTTTGCCCAGTTTAGGATCCTGTAAGACCAGGCCACTATTACCACATTTCTGCCTGTAAGGTCTCCTAGCTCCTCTTGATTTCTTCACATAAGCTCTAGAAAAGTAATATACTCTTTTTTAAGAAAATTTTCAACCTCTAGGATTGGTGAAAAAAAGTGATAAGAAAAGAATTGAGACACTTACAGGGTTTTCTGAGTGTCGAGTATGTTAGTACTCACCTTGTGTCTTAAAGCTTTCTGGCAACGAGGTGCTATTTTCGCCTGTCACGTAAACCACCACTACTCGGACACTATAGGAAGTATAAGGTTGTAGATCTGTGATGTTACAGACGTAAGCAGGCCCTTGGCTGCATGAAGCTTCAGTGTGGTAAAACTCACTGTATTTCCACTAGAAAAAGAAGTCTCAAAGTTAAACATTTTTGTTTCTCTAAGAAAATCTTCTTAAAATATAAAAATGTTTTAAGGCTTATAGCAAGTGATCAAAACTTAACATTTACTTGATATTAAAGAATAAAGACTTCTTTCTGAATGTTTGATTCCAAACATTACCCCATCACTTACAGCTGTTTTATTTTTTATGACAATCTACAATTGACTTTAAATGTCCGTTCTTAGGATAAGCCCAAGGTAGGATATACACCTCTGATTAGATATTATCAGGGAAGATTCAGAGCTATGACTTCTTGTTATCCCTAAGAGTAGATACCTATATTAAACCAGGATGGCTAAGAATGCAAATTCACAGCTGAGGGACAATGATGGATCGAAAAAATGAACTTTCAATTCCAGGGATTTGTTGCTTTTATAATAATTATATTTTTACATATTTTGTTTCCTTGAAGACATCCACAACTACTTACAAACTAAAACATTTCTTTTCTCCTAACACCCTCCTGAGACATGTAACCAGATGCCTTATTTTTATATATAGGAAGCCTACATCACTAAAAGAAGGAAATTTTTGCCCACCATCAGGCAGCTACTAAGTAGCAAGGTTAGAAGGTAAATACAGGAAGCCTTGCTTTCATTCCACTTTAGATGTGGGTTTCTGATTGTAGATATCTGAAACTTCTTTTTCTGTGACATCGCTTTTTAAAAATATGGGTATTTGGATTCTTAATATCATTATCTGAAAATAGTGATTTTTTTTTTTTTACTTAACATACAAATAGGAAAAAACAGAGGATGTGTCATTTTGTCAAGGGTTCTTGGTGTATTTTCTGCGGTAGAGTTTCCTAAGAAGGCCGTTTTCCATAAATAAACTTAATTTATAACTCCTTTTTCATTCGGCACTCATGGGGTCACATCATTTCTTTAGAGGGACACTTTGTTTTAGCTTTTAATTCAATTAGGAATGATTCCCCATAGCACCTTCAGAAAGTAGACCACCAGGTACAAAAAGAAAGGGGGGAAAGGGAATGGAGGGAATGAAAAAGAAGAAAATAGAAATGCTGATGTCAGGGACATTGCCTACACTAAAGTCATACATGTATCAATCCCTGAGACATATAGCTTAATAAAAAGGTGTATTGAATCCATAGTATTTACTCTGAACCTTCAGAGAGAGAAAAAAAATTAATTCCTGGCTAAAAACATCTCAGCCCTTTTTGGTCCTGCCTCCTTAATGATCTGGTACAGAAACTACCTGAAGTAAATAGTCTAGATGACCCAACATTCCATACTATCCAAAAATTATCAGAGCTCCTTCGAATGTTGGGGAGGTGCTTGACCAAGGGTACTGCTGGAAAACTGTAGAGTATTGGCCTCACTACAGGAACGAATGTCTGGGCAGACCACCAACTTGGAGAGATGCCACAGGCTATCCCAGTAAATCACAAGGGTGTCAGAACTTTCCATTTGTCAGAGGCCAACAAGTGCAGGGGTGACGGCTACCACAGCGGGATTTTCAAATTATTTGGGTTAGGGGTGAGGGGGATGTGAGCTATGATGTCTGAGAGCCTGAAACTTCAGAGATTGTTGGTTCTGGTAGGGATTTTCCTGGACAGATGGGGAAAACACAATTTTAATGGACTTCCATGAAAAAATTTACCAAAGCAAAATTACTTGTTTCTCCTCAATCTTAAGTTGAATATGTTCTTCTATACACTGTTGTGATTTTTTAAATCTCTGAAATGTAAGATCTAGATAGAGACTTAGCTCTATGTTCTATTATAATTCCCTCATTTTCTAGATAAGAAAATTTTTGTTTTTTAGATAAGGAAATTTTGACAGAAAAGACAGATTGAAAGTTTATTATTTTCTTCCTCTTTTCTTTCTAAAAAAAATTAATTAAAAAGACATATACTCCCCCTTATCACCCACCCCTCAGAGTTTCAGCAGGGAGCTATGAGTTCACTCCTAATTTTCCTATCATTATGAGGGTGGGTTCAAGTTGTTTAAAAGAGACAGCACTTTCTCACTAGATGAAACTCATCAACCCGCAGCCTTTTACTGTGCTCATGAGTTAGTACTCATAGATGGTCACACATGGAATAACAACTATATCTTGCATTTTCAGCTCCATAATTTTCTAAATGGTCTGTCTGGAACCTGTGTTGAGCAAGCGTAAAAACAGAGGAAGGTTGGACACCAGAAAGTATCACATGAAAGTCATGAATACTGGACTGGGAGGTCCCTGTCTGCTGTCCTCCCCAAACTCTGAGGAGTGGGATGGGTGACTTAATGACTCCTATTCCATCCATGGACAGCACCCAAGTAGGACTGCTGTAGGGATGAGTCAGATCTGGGATTCTTCTCTGTGTCTGGATGCTGAGATCCGGCTCATCATGGGTTCTGTCTGCTTTCTCATCAGTGAGATGAGAGGCTAGAGCATCATCACCTCTAAGATTGTTTTCCATTTTATTTCTTTCATCTAGGAAATGAACTTTATATCCCTCCCCTTGACTTTAGACTGAACTATTATACATTAAGCTTACTTAAATTAGACGTCCAAAAAAAGGCAGTTCTCCAATTTTTCCAATTTAACTGCATTTTTTTAAATAGGCAACAAATCATCAGAAACATGCTCAAAGGAAAAAGTCCAGTCAAACTATGACCTTTGGTTTTATCAACTCAATACATATTTTTCATAGTTGTTAATTAAAAAGTACAAGACCATAAAATGTATCTTATATAATAAATTCTAAAAACATCCTGGGGAACAACTTCATTTTTAAAGAAATAGTGAGACCATGACTATACTAACTTCTTTTAAGTTACCACTGAACTTAACCTAACCAATCTTTGCAAATGTGTACATTTACATAGGCCCAGATATACACAAACACACGCATGCAAATATAAATAGTGAAAATGACAAGTAGCAATTATAATAACATAATAGTCCCTTCTAAGTGTTAGCACTATAAAAGTCAATGTGGACTTTCCCAATCAGTGGAGTAATCAGATCAACTGATGCCTTAAAATTCAGTGGGTATTTTTATATTGGTTAAAGCAAGAAGAGTGCTGGATGAGGAACCATTTAAAGTTTATAAGCTAACATCAAACTAGTGACAGGAGAGAAGTAAAATATAAAACCAGCTTATTCTAAACTAGTTTGATGTTAGCTTATAAACTTTAAATGGTTCCTCATCCAGCACTAGCCCTCAAATGGTTGAAAGAACATTTCTAAATAAGATCTTGGTTTTTTGTTTGTTTCTTTCATTTTTTTCCCCTAGAAAACACCAAATTGCTATGGATTATAAACCAAGCACATTAATAACTAAACGAGTAAAACATTATGAAATCAGCACCCTATAATTTATACCGTTTTACATGGAGCCTTTTAAGAGCAAATTAATCTCCCTGGGAATGCTTTCCATCAGAAATTAATCTGGATAATTTACTGCTTCTACATGAAAAACCTAAATCAATGAATTCTGTCAAATATATTGTTTGTATATACACAAGAATACGCTAAACATGTGAAAAAGTCCTTCCATTTATTCTATATCATAAAATAAAGATTTGCATAAAAAGTCTACCTTCTGGAGTTCAAACCAGAATCTGATGAGGTTAACATTAGATGGAGCCTTCCAATGTAATTGCAAACTGGTGTTCTCTGGAACCAAGGTATAAGGTTTCTCTGGTGTGTCAAATGTTTCCACAGTGACAGGATGACTCTCAGCACACCACATTTCTTCAGAGTGGCAGGCCAGAACCTTTTTGTAAAAGAAGAACAATTGCTTAACCTTTTCAAAACCTTGCACTTGATAATGGCAATAAAGAGTGTCCAATATACTCACTGTACCTTTAATACATATAGATTTCCACCAGACAGTCTAGTAACAAGGAGAGTGAGTCTTTCATTTGGAAATTCACTTTGTCTCAGAGGAGTCTCAGGAATTAGGGCCAGGTGCAAAATTGCCAACTGGTAGCGGACTGATTCTTTAGGTCCATTTGGCTTGTGAGACTCTCTCCAGGATATAATGAGGCTGGTGTCTGACCGCACAGTTGTGTTAATGAGCCAGACTGCCTCTGGTACTGAAATAAATAGCAAGGAATAATAAGAGATGTTGCAACAGTGCTGAAAGCTGGGAAGAAGTAATGAAGTCTTGGTTGAGGAATAATCCTATCGTGTGAGCAGAATGACTAACAGACGTTCGGAAGGAAAGCCAGCATCTTACATAATGGTAAGTTAGCAGTCTGCCTGAAAGGCTCTTGCTTATTTTTGCTTAATAACCAAATCATTTTCTGACTCTAGCTCAAGGATACAGCCAATGATAAATAACCCCATTCAGGTGAGTATTGTGAATATTATCAGAGAGATCTGAAAGAAATGGCATCACCTCCTAATAATTGCCTTCTCTTAGAACACCTTTTAGTTCCTAGACTTATTTTCTTTAAGGCAGTAATGTTATAAAACTTTCAATCTCAGTGGCCTCAGAAAAATTCACAGAGAAAAAAGGCTTGGCTTCCCTACGGCTCACCACATGTGCAGAGATCTTTGAGCATATGGAAAAAGAGTGACACTGTGTGGTGAGATCAAAGAATGTGTTCCTTGGTCTAACAGTATTGATTTTGATGTTTCACCTCCTGGTTGCCTTCCATTTTGATGGAATATTATGAGTCATCTTCAGAGGTTAGAATATGGATCAGGTCATATTTTTCTACAAATACATTTTTCTTATTAAACTTAAAAAATCCCACATAAGAAGACTATTTAGCATCCAGATAAAAACACAAATATAGACATAGACACAACAAATATCACAATATTCCACTCTAGAAACCCATCCCAAGGCCATAACTCACCTCCACTTTTAGTTTTTCCCCAAATCTCTTTTCCCAGAGGAAAATGTTCCAAAGGATCTGAATAATAATTCTTTACAGCTATCTGTATCATATACGTTGAAAATGGTTGTAAATCTTCAATAAGGGCTATACTGTCCTGAAATTCCTGCAATTAATTTTTGTAATCAATATCTCATTCTTACATTTGATATAAATGGGTAGAAATTATTTTATCAAAGAGAAAAAAGTTAAAGACTCAAAAAAGTTAATTTATTTTAAATTCTAGGTTATCAATGATAATACCACTGTCCTAATCTACCCAGACCTTAGTTGTTTAATATCACCAAGAATGAATATCAAATTATTGGCAGCCCTCAGTCAATTTTGTGGCATAACTCATCTCACACAGGAAGCTAAATTCCTAGAAGAAGACATTATTTCATTATAATTCCATTAGAAATTCAGCAAGTTGGTATTGTAAAGATGTGACACATAAGTGAATACAATAAAAGATTAAATTATATTATCTAATCATTCTGGGAAATAAAGCTTAAGAGAATAAAAAAACTTTCCTTAGACCAATGGTTCTCAACTTGGTTACTTAGTTGTGCTTTGGAATTATCTGGGAAGTTTTAATAAAAGACTATGCCTGGATTCTACCCCCAGAGATCCTTATGAAGTTATCTGGGGTGAATATTAGACCCAGAATCTTTGAAAAGCTCCAATGTGCCATCAAGGTTGAGAACCACGGCCACAGACCCTTATCGATCAATGTGAAGACAATTAGATAGATTAACTCTAATAAAAGAAATGTCCAGTGCCACAAATCCAATCTTAGTCAGCCAAATCCTTCAACCTAACTCTGAAACAACTCATTTTAGAAATGTGTAAAGAAAGGTTAACAGAAACAAAATAAATGAAGTAACAAAGCATCACACATACTTAATGGCAAAGCATATACTGTTTAATATAGAATAGATGATGGTAAATTTCATGTTTTGAATTGGCTAAATAAAGCCAAGCACAAAGCAAAATATTGGATTTATATGATTCCATCACTAAGAAAACTGAAACACTAATGCCAATGATAGAATAAATAGTGCCCATTCATTCATTCATTCATTCAAGAAATATCTAGTGAATGTCCAGACAATGCCAAGTACTGTGCTAGGTGCTAGGGATACAATGATGATGAAGAACAGACATAGGATATGCGTAGCAGTGCGTTTCATAACATATAGGCAATAATAGACAAAAATATAAAATTTTCATATTAGGTAAATGCTATGAAGAAGAGGTATATGGCAATGTTCTTTCTGTCTAATTCATTTGTTACTCCTCAATCTTCAGTCTGCTGGATATGCCACAAAAATAAGTCTCTATCACTTTCTGGAGATAATTACATAATAAGGGAGGGGAAAAAACCCACTTCTTTCAGGATAATCAGAAAACTGTTACCATGGCAATCCATCATCTAGCCAGGGCTAGTATACTTCCTTGAAGCTTAACTTACTCCCAGATAAGAAGACTAGAACACAGTGTGTTTTGATGAATCATCAGCTGTAAACATTTTCATAATAGTGCATCTCAGACCATATAGGAAATATTTTACTATGGTTGATAATTTTTTTTTTTTCTTTTTTTGAGACAGAGTCTCACTCTGTTGCCCTGGCTAGAGTGAGTGCCATGGCGTCAGCCTAGCTCACAGCAACCTCAAACTCCTGGGCTCAAGCGATTCCCCTGCCTCAGCCTCCTGAGCAGCTGGGACTACAGGCATGCGCCACCATGCCTAGCTAATTTTTTCTATATATATACATTTTTAGCTGTACAGATAATTTCTTTCTATTTTTAGTAGAGACGGGGGTCTCGCTCTTGCTCAGGCTGGTCTCGAACTCCTGACCTTAAGCGATCCACCCGCCTCGGCCTCCCAGAGTGCTAGGATTACAGGCGTGAGCCACCGCGCCCGGCCTATGGTTGATAATTTTATGTCAAAAAAGAGGATAGTGTGAAAAGACAAAGACCACGAGCTCCAATCTTACCAGCATTCTGTATTTCAAGTCGGAGCTGTTTCTCTTTTCATTAACTTCTGTGTAATAAACGAGGTATGTTGGAGTAGGGCTGGTGATGCCATACCCAGTGAGATTTGTCTTGGCCAGAGGTAATTTGATTGTGAGGCTAATGTTGGTGGCATTAAGTATAGTTGGTTCCTCAATATCTGAAGCTAGAGACAGAAATGCTTTATCTAAAATAAGAAGAGAACAAAGATTAAATATATACACATACATGTATAAGAGAGGAATGGTAGATTTATTTAACAGCAATGGTAATATCAAAGTTAGAAAGAAATTGTAGAATATACATAACTTTTGCTTGAAAGGATAAATACAAAAATGCTTCTGAAATGATGTTCTCTTTGAAGAAACAAAAATGGCTAATGTTGATACTATGCTAGGCAGACACTGCTAGTCTACCAGACACTCTCCTACTTTACATATGTCTGTCACTGTTCAGTGTGGTGTGCCTGAGGAAAAACTCACTTTCTGAGGTTTGATTGCCACCCAGGCAAGCATGTGACACAGTCTGGCCAATCAAATATAAGGTGGGTGGACCCATCATCTTACTGATAATAAAGGGCTCTCTGCCCACACTTCTGCCCTTCTCCCTCTCCCCGCTTAGGAGGCAGATGTGATGCCTAGAGGGGCAGCAGCAATCTTGTGAGAACTGAATAAAAGACACACTAAAGAAGTTTGGGGAAAGCCAGAAGTCCTGGTGCTCAATGTTATTTTGGAGCTGCCTGGCCACCACATACCAGCAAACACATTGCATGCTGCCCAACTCCAGGGAGCATCATTCACAGAGACTACCATGGGAACCGTCTGCTCTAGACCAGTGCAATGGTGTTAGGGACAGAAAAACAAGAAGTAATGGAATGATAGGAGCAGAAAAACAAGAAGGAGGAAACAGTTAAAGAAAAACAATAAAAATAAAATGGTTGCAGAAAAATAACCAGGGAAAACAGTTATTTCAGTCTTAAAGAATGGGGTAATTAGACCATGGAACAGTGACCACCAATGAGAAAATAGAAAAACACCATGAACGGTGACTTTCTCCAACACCCGTATAGGAAAAAGAAATCTCTGGAACATAATCTTTAAGTTATGTCCATACTTGGAAAAATCCAGACCCCAAAATCTGTGACATATAGTCATAAGTAATTATACCTGACCTTTACATCAACATATACTACTAACATATAAAAGGAAAAACATAGAAGAAGACAGTGTCTTCTCCACCCACAGAGACAGAGCCATTTCCCTTTAGGAAATGTACTTTCTCTTTGCACCCTTAAACTGTCCTTACAATAAATTCTTCACGCATCCTTGCTGGGTGTCTGTCATCTCTCTCCATCGCATGTGCCAAGGCTTGCGATTCCTCTAAGCCAGGAGCCCAAGAACTGGGAAAACACTTCAAAGTCCAGCCGTGGACAGGACGGTGACAATGGTACAACCACACTATAGGCTCAGTTTAAGCCTATGAAGTCATGTTTCTGTCACTTACAGCTGAACGCAACTTCTAACCTATTCACTCTGAGACTCACATAAAACATCATCTAAAAATACAGCACTGTCGCACAAAGAGAACACGATATGCAAATAACTCCAAATACGGTTTTGATATGAAATCTCACAATCCTACACTAATTAACTCTTTAACTCATCATACACAGCACTTTGTAATCTGTCTCCTGCCCACTGCTCTATCCCATCCCTGACTCTATGTCCCCGCCACAGCTACACGTCCTTCTACCAGAGCACTAGCCACATTTGATTCTGGTTTTGGTTTTCCCTTGGGTGATTTCTTTTCTTTGTCTACCACCAGAATGTAAGCTTCTTGGGCTGAGACTGTGCTTGATTTATCTTTGTTTCCCCAGAACCTCAAGAGGATGCCTGACACATATTAGTTATTTAATAAATGTTGTAGATCTTTATTAATTTGTGATATCAAAATATAAAGTACATCCTTTACATTCAACAAGAAAATTAGGGGGGAAATGTCTAAATGCTAAATGACTTGATCAAGCCAGCTCCTTCACTTTCTAACTTTTTGACCTTGGGAAGGTTACTCCAACTCTTCTATAAAGAAGAGATATTTTATAGCTATTTATATATTACTGTATCCCTAGCACGTGGTAAGAATTTTTAATGAATGTTAACCATTATTATCATCATTAGTGAGACTACTGAAAAATTAGGGAAAATAATACTGGTCTGATCTGGGCATTCCAAATAGGAATTCCAAAATGCATAAGAGAATGTTTAAAGGAAAACCTGAGCATTTGGAGGTGCTGGGAGGATGGTGTGCCTAGAGAGAGCATAGAAACTTCATGCTGCCCACCTTCCATAACTTGCCCTATGCATCTCTTCCATATGGCTCTTCCTGAGTTATATCCTTTATAATAAACCAGTTTAAAAAAAAGAATTTTTAAAATTAGAACTATGTCAAAAATTTCCAGTAACAAGGACTACCCAAGGAGATTGTGAACCTAAGTTTGAGGATACTTGGGAGTATGAGAGTTTTGAGATGGATAACTTCACTGATGTTACAAAATGGGCCATTCTCCAGTTCAACCAATGTTTATCCGATAGTATTCAGTTTGTACTGATTTCTAGTCTAAACAGGAAACACTCATGGCAGTAGCCAGAGCAATAATCTGACTCAAAGGTCATTGGTACTTTGTCATTATTTTATTTTTATTTAACCAACATGATATGATATATCGAAGTGTTAGGAATGTTATTCAGGATGGGAAGACACTCTTTTTCATTAATATTTTTTCTTTCTTTTTTTAATCCCATTCTTTTTTTTAATTTCAAAATATTAAGGGAGTACAAATGTTTTTGTTACATGGATAGCTTTCATAATGCTTAAGTCAAGTGTATAAGTGTGCCCATCACCTGAACAGTGTTCATTGTGCCTGTTAGGTAGGTTTTTATCCCTCCCCCTTCTTGATTTCCAATGACTTTTACTTCTCTCTGTGCCCCTGTGCCTTGGGAAAAAGAGTAGGTAACTAGTAATTGCTTAAAATTTCCAGCAGATGGAGATAAAGTACCCTTAATAATATAACTAGAGCGTAGCAAAATAAAGTTGACATTTCTTTTCGAAGAAAATAATGATGGTATATTAATCATTTTTTTACTGATTACAAAAATTCATGCTACTTTTAGGACTTTTATTCTTAAGGATGTGTGTGTATGTGTGTTTGTCTGTAGGGTGTGTGTGTGTGTGTGTGTGTGTTCAACTTCAAACAGATATTGAATGGACTTTTTTAAAGATATTTTTTAGTGCAGTTTTAGGTTCACAGTAAAAGTGAAAGGAAAGTACAGAGATTTTCCATATACCCCCTACCCGTACACACGCATAGCTTTCCCCCATTATCAATACCCAAACCAGAATGGTACATTTGTTACAATCAGTGAACCTACATTTACACACCATTATCACCCAATGTCCAAAGTTAACATTATGTTCAATCTTATGTTGTACATTTTATGGGTTTGGACAAATGTATAATGACATGTATCCGCCATTATAATAACATATAGAATATTTTCACTGCCTAACGATCCTCTGTGCTCCACGTATTCATCCCTGCCTCTTGCTAACCCCTGGAAACCATTGATTTTATTACTGTCTCCATAGTGTTAACTTTGCCAGAATGTCATATAATTGGAATCATATAATATTTAAAAACTCTTTGCCAAACCCAAGGTCATCTAAACTTTATCCTATATTATTTTCTAGGAGTTTTATAGTTTTGCATTTTACCTTTAGGTCTGTCATCTATTTTGAGCGAATTTTTGTGACACAGTGTAAGGTTTATATCCACATTAAACTTTTCACATGTGGACGTCAAGTTGTTCCAGCACAATTTGTTGAAAAGACTATTTTCCATTGCATTGCTTTTGCCCCTGTGTCAAAGATCATTTGACTATATTTATATGGGTCTCTTTTGGGGCTCTCTATTTTGTTCCACTGATCTATTTGTCTATTCTTTCACCAATACCACACTGTCTTGGTATCTGTAGGTTTATAGAAAATCTTGAAGTTGGGTAATGTCGGTTTTCCAACTTTGTTCCTCTCCTTCAATATTGTGCTGGCTATCCAGGTCTTTTGCCTCTCCCTATAAACTTTAGAATAAGTTTGTCAATAACCACGAAATAACTTGCTGGGATTCTGATTGAGATTGCATTTAATCTATAGATCAAGTTAGGAAGAAATGACGTCTTGACAATTTTGAGTCTTCCTACCTATAAACACATACTATCTCTATACTTATTTAGTTGTCCTTTGATTATTTTCATCAGAGTTTTGTAGTTTTCTTCATACATATTTTGTACATATTGTTATATGTATTTGTACACATTTTATTCGATTTATACCTAAGTATTTCGTTGTTGTGGATGCTAATGCAAATAGTATTGTGTTTTCAATTTCAAATTCCAGTTGTTTGCTGCTGGTATATAGGAAAGTGATTAACTTTTGCATATTAATCTCGTGTCCTGCAAACTTGCTATAATCACTTATCAGCAGTTCCAGGAGGGGTTTTTTTCAGTTCTTTTAGATTTTCTATGTAGATGGTCATTTCATCCGTGAGCATAGACAATGTTATATCTTCCTTCTGAGTCAGTATTCTTTGTATGTCCTTATGTCTTGTTGCATGCTAGGACTTTCAATACAATGTTGAAATGGAATGGTGAGAGTGGACATCTTTGCCTTGTTTGTGATCTTAGTGGAAAAGCTTCTAGTTTCTCACCATTAAGTATGTTGTTAGCTATAGGTTTTTATAGGTGTTCTTTCTCAATTTATGGAAGTTTTCCTCTATTCCTAGTTTGCTGAGAGTTTTTAATCATGAATGGGTATTGAATTTTGTCACACACTTTGGCATTTGCTGCATATATTGATGTGATCATCTGATTTTTCTTCTTCAGCCTGTTGATTACATCAATTGATTTTCAAATGTTGAGCCTGATTTGCATACCTGGCATAAATCCCACTTGATTATGGTATATAATTATCTTTATTTATTGTTAGATTCAGTTTGATAATATTTGGTTGAAGATTTTGTCTTTATATTCAAGACGGATAATGGTCTAAAGTTTTCTTTTTCTTGTAATATCTTTGTCTAGTTTTATTATTAGGGTAATTCTGGCTTCACGGAATGAAATCATTCTATCGCCTAACTGGAAGTATTCTCTCTACTTCTATCCTCAGAAAGAGATTGTAGAGTTTTATATAATTTTTCCACAAATAGATGGTAGAATTCACCACCGAATACATCTGGGCAGGTGCTTTCTACTTCAGAAGGTTATTAATTATTGATTCAATTTCTTTAACAGATATAGGCATATTCAGATTGTCTATTTTTTCTTGTGTGAATTTTGGCAGATTGTGTCTTTAAAGGGATTGGTCCATTTCATCTAAGTTATAAAATTCGTGAGCATAGAGTTGTTCATTATATTCCTTGATTATACCTTTAATGTCCATGGGATCTATAATGATGTCCCCTCCTTCATTTCTGATGTTAGTAATTTGTATCCATTCTTTTTTTTCTTAGCTTGGCTAGAGGCTTACCATTTTGTTGATCTTTTCAAAGAAACAGCTTTTGGTTTCATTGATTTTCAGTTTTCAATTTCACTGATTTATGCTCTACTTCTTTCTGTTTTGTTTCTTTTGCTTACTTTGGATTTAATTTACTCTTCTTTTTTCTAGTTTCCCAATGTGGAACTTAAATGGTTAATTTTATATCTTTTTTCTTTTCTAATATATGCATTCAATGCTATAAATTTCCCTAAGCACTGCTGTTGCTGATTTCTACAAATTTTGATAAATTGTATTTTCATATTCATTTAGTTCAAAATAGTTTTAAATTTCTCTTGAGATTTCTCCTTTGACCCATGTATTATTTAGAAATGTTTTGTTTAATCTCCAAGTGTTTTGATATTTTCCAGCTATGTCTCTGTTATTGATTTTCAGGTTAATTTCATTGTAGTCTGAGAACAGACATTGCATGATTTCTATTATTTTAAATATCTTAGGTGTGTTTTATGGCCCAGAATATTGTCTATCTTGGTGAAATGTTCCATGTGAGCTTGAGAAGAATGTGTTTTCTGCTGCTGTTGGATGAAGTAGTTGGTAGATATCCATTATATCTAATTAATATGTTGTCGAGTTCATCAGTATATCCTTTCTGATTTTCTTCCTTGCTGGATCTGCCCATTTCTGATAGATAAGTGCTTAAATCTCCAACTATAATTCTGGCTTCATCTGTTTCTGGCAGTTCTATCAGTTTTTGCCTTGTGTATTTTGATGCTCTGTTATTAGGCACATATACATTAAGGATTATTATGTCTTGTTAGAGAATTGACTGCTTTATGTAATGTCCCTCCATACCTCTTATCACTTTCCTTGCTCTGAAGTCTGCTCTGTCTGAAATTAATGTAACTACTCCTTCCTTCTTTTGATTCGTGGTGGCATGATATATTAATATCTTTCTCCATCCTTTTACTTTTGATTTATATGTGTCTTTATATTTAAAGTGGGTTTCTTATAGGCACCGTAGAGTTAGTTGAGTCTTGTTTGTTGATCTGCTCTGATCATCTCTTTTAGCTGGTACATTTGGACATTGATGTTCAAAGTGACTATTGCTACAGTTGGATTAATATTTGTCATATTTTTTATTGTTTTCTATTGGTTTCTTTGCTCTTTATTCCTATTTTTGTCTTCTATTCTTTTTCTGTCTTTTGTGGTTTTAATTGAGTATTTTATATGATTCTGTTTTCTCTCCTTTCTTAGGAATCAGTTATACTTTATTTTTTACTTTTTTTTAGTGGTTTGCCCTAGAATTTGTAATATATATTTACAACTAATCCAAGTCCACTTTCAAATAACATTATACCACTGCACTGCTAGTGCAAGTATCTTATAATAACAAAATAATCCTGATTCCTTCCTTCCATCCCTTGTATCATTGCTGTCATTCATTTTGTTTATATTTAAGCATAAATGAGTTTATATATATACACACATACACATCCATAAGCATACATAATTGAATACATTGTTGCTATTATTATTACTTTGAATAAACTTTTATCTGTTAGATCAATCAAGAAAAAAAATAAAAATTTTTATTTTACCTTCATTTACTCCTTCTCTAGTACTTTTTCTTTCTTTATGTAGATCTGACTTTCTGTCCTATATACTTTTCCTTCTTTCTAAAGAACTTCTTTGAACATTTCTTGCAAGGCAGGTCTGCTGACAATAAATTCCAACAAATTTTGTCTGCAAAAGTCTTTATTTCTTTTTCCCTTTTGAAGGATAGTTTCTCAGAGCATGAAATTCTAGGTTGGATTTTTTTTTTTCTCTCAACATTTTAAATATTTCACTCCTGTCTCTTTTCACTTATATGGTTTCTGAGAAGCTGAGTATAATTCTTATCTTTGCTCCTCTATGAGCACAGTGCCTTTTTCCTCTGGCTTCTTTTAGAATTTTTTTTCTCTATCTTCGATTTTCTGCAGTTTCAATATGATAGGCCTAGGGTAGGGTTTGTTTTTGTTTTTATTTTTTATTTTTTTTTCCATTTATCCTACTTGGTGTTCTCTAAGACTCCTATATCTGTAGTTTGGTATCCGACATTAATTTAGGGGAAATTCTCAGTCATTATTGTTTCAAATATTTCTTCTGTTCCTTTTTCTCTTTCTTCTCCTTCTGGTAACATTATATATATATTACACCTTTTGTAGTTATCCCACAGTTGCTGCAGATTCTGTTCTGGTATTTTCTATCTTTCTGTCTTTGCTTTTCAGTTTTGGAGGTTTCTATTGAGATGCTTTCAAGCATAAAGATTCTTTTCTCAGCCATGTCCAGTCTACTAATAAGCCCTCCAAAGGCATTCCTCATTCATTACGGTGTTTTTATCTCTAGCATTTCTTTTTCATTTTTCTTAAAATTCCCATCTCCTTGCTCCCATTGACCATCTTTTCTTGCATACCGACTACTTTATCCATTAGAGTTTTTAGCATATTAATCATAGTTGTTTTAATTTCCCAGTCTGACAATTCTAACATCCCTGCTATATTCAAGTCTGGCTCTGACACTTACTCTGTCTCTTCAGCCCATTTTACGCCTTTTGGTATGTCTTGTAATTTTTTTCTTGATAGCTCCACATAATGTACTAGGTGAAAGAAATTACTGTAAATGGGCCTTTAGTAGTGTGGTGGTAAGATGGGGCGGAGGGGAAGCATTTATAGTCCTAGATTAGTCTTTTAGTGAGTCTTTGCCTCTGGATTGTGAACTTCACAAGTTCTTCTCAGTCCCCTCCACCCCACTAGATGGAACAGGATGGGTAGAGTGGGCCGGAGTTGGGTGTTTTCTTTTCCCCAGGTCAGTTAGGCACTGATAAAACCCCAGCAGGTTCAGCTCTGGTGAAATAATTTCTCTTGAGGGCAGATCTTGTTAAAAAGAACAGAATGTTCTGTCATATTTCCAAATAGTTCCTTTTACCCTTCCCCTGCTGGAAACACAAGGGGATTTTCTAAGACATCCACTGTGAGAACTAGCGGACGCTCCTGGACTAGCTAACTCACAAAACAGTGAGGGTACCCCTATGACTGGGTCCGCCTGGAATTTTTAACTTCTGCGTTGCTCACACTGAGCCTCTAGCAATTCATCAATTATAATTTAGGCTTTCCTACCCCAACACTGGTTCCCACAAAGATTTCTGCTCATGGTTTCTTGCTCTGGTAAATATGATTCTCTATATCCACCTGTCTGTCTTTTCAGCATGGGGAGCAGCCCTGTGACCTCACTTCTCTATGTATCTAAGAAGAGTTGAGTTTTCATTTTGCTCAGCTTTTTACTTATTAGGAGAGAGTTGCAATTTTCAAATTTCTTATATATTGGGCCAGAAACCAGAAGTCACATACAGTTTTAAAATCTCTTAAATTTCTCAAAGGAGGAAAGAAATTATTTTATAAAAATATGAACTAAGCTTATTTATAAATTCTCATGTTTTTCAATTTATATATTTTATAAATAAATACATTTAAACAAAGGGAATTTGTTTCATTCATTTCTGTCCCTCCCAAGAGGAGAGTTATACTTAATTTAGAATGACATTTGCACCTTAATGGCAAAGAAAGCTTGATAAGAGAACAATGAGGCAATACAATACTGTTTTTGTTTGTGTGGTTTTGACATTTCAAAAGTATTTCACTATGACCCTCAGTAGAAAATAGTCAGTTCTGCTATAACATGATACATGTATTCCTATAAATCATTGCATTATACAAATACACAATAAATCACACAATAAATTTCATAGAGCTTATGGGTAAAGTACGATTGAGGGCACAACACTAAAAAGCTTCATCAGTGACATTAAAAAAAAGATAGGAACTTAATAAAAATGGTGGCATAGATCTATACATGTTAAATGATACTACACAGTACTATAATAATAGTACATATTAATACATAAAAATTCAATGCATAATACTTCTTAATGCATAATACATAATATTACAACAAACATGGCACATTACCTTGAAAAAGACTTGAGGTTTTATGCAATACTTTTCGACACCACTGGGAGGCCATAAATATCACCAAGGGAGAAAAAAGACAGGAAGAAAAGAGATTATGGGACTGAGGAGAGAAAGAGGACAGAGAGAACAATAGGACATGGGTTTCCCACGTCTAAAGTTGCCTATCAGAGCCCAAGCTGTGTATACACAGAGGTAATTTGTAATCCGGGCAAACAGCAATCACAGTGTGCACTAAAGACTGGAGCAACAAGGGGGTTAGAGAGACAGCCTTGGAAAAGGAGACATTATGAGATTTTTCTGACTATCTAACCTGGGAGAACAAGCTGGTTATGAATGTGACTTTATTACCTGGAAAAGGCTGCATAAATGAACTGTAAGCCAAGATATGCTTACTCCTTAGGGTCTTCACCTGGGAGAGGATGGCCCCATTTCTTTTCTTTGCTTGATAAATCTGTGTGCTGGCCTTTGCTGTGATGATCCAATATATAAACTCCCCATCCACAGTTAAGCTAACAAGTGTTTTCCCTGCTGATTAAAAACATAAAGAATGAAATACATATCTTAAATTTTCTACTCCAAACAATATATGAAATCCTTTCTCTATATTATAACTGCTAAAGTTTGAATCTATTATTTCGATATGAAAAAATACTTTTATTTTATGTCATTTAGCTAAGGGTTTTAGAGGTATTTTCTCATTATAGCTTCATATTAAGCCAATAAGGTAAATACTATTATCACCATTTTGTAGAAGTGCAAACTGAGACCTGAAGAAGTTAAATGATCTGCTCAAGACCACAAAATTAGCAAAGGGCAGAGCCAAGATTTAAACTCACCTATGTCTCTTCAAGTCAAGTGATGCTAATCTGAGGGATGTGTAAGATAATAGATATAGGCTCAGTGCCTTACTCAACATTTTTATCAGTGGTTTGGAATGAATGCATAGTAAACATATTTATCAGGTTTTCAGATAATACATGATTACTACTATCACTAGCAGGTTTAGTTATAGCCTTGAAATTCAAAAATATCACAACAGAATTAAGAAATGGATTAAATTTAATAGCAACAAACATAACATCCTAAATTGAAATTGAAAATCAACTCTACAAATGGATGAATGAAAGAGATCTGGCTTAACAATAGCTAACGTGAAAAAGACTGCGGGTTTTCCAGTGGCAGGCAGCCCAAAGATCTGATGCCACTTTCAGCTGCAGTAGAAAGGAGACCCAGGGCATCAGAGCCCCCCTGCACTGATCAGAACACATTGAGAGTATAGCATGTCATTATGAGGGCAACATTTAAGAGGATATTAACATAGCTGGAGTGAAATCATAGGAGGGCAACTAAGACAAAGAAAGATCTACAAGCCGTATCACCTGAGAAGTTGTTACAGATACTCGAATTTTTCCTCTAAAGAAAATGCTCAGAATGGGCTAAGACAGCTACCTCTACATAGTTGAATGGCTGTCATGTGGAAAGTGATTAATTTATTCTTCGTAAATTTAGAGGTCAGAACTAAGACCAATGAATGCAGAGAAGACTTTGGCTAAAGGTAAGGGAAAAAAATCTAATATTCAGAATTGTCCAAAAAATTAAACAGACTTCCTTATAAAGTAGTGATTTTTTTATAAACAAGTATTCCAGTACTACTTTTGTAGAAAAAATTTCTTGCAACATCATGACAGCTAAATGATCTCTAAAGTCATTTTAAGTTTCTAATTATAAAAATATGGATTTCAATTATGGATTTATGAAAGAATGACTAGTTTTATACCTATATGATAATGGTCCACTAGGCAATTCTTGTGTATCAGATGTTAAAGAAAAAATTATTCTGATACTTCTTAAAGTGGCAAGAAAGACTTTAGTCAAGACTAGTGCAATATTGCAATAGGGGAGATAGCTGTTGCAATACAACAAAAACAATTGGGGATTTATAGCTGACAAACGGAGTGAGGGAGTCAGTGGATGGAAAGTTACCAATAAGGGACAACACAGGTGGAGGGATCCTCGTTAAACTAACCTAACAGGATTCTTTGCTAAAGGTAGGCAAAGGACCTAGACATCAAGAGTGGGCGACTAAGAACTTAATCAGATATCAAAGGTGGGGGATTCTGTCTAAGCTGATTTAGTAAGATTCTTACTAAATTTGGACTGAGCAAGAATGGATATGGGAAGGCCAAGGTCAAGGTGTAGTCAAGAGGGCTGAGGTCAGGCGCAGTGGCTCACGCCTGTAATCCCAGTGCTTTGGGAGGCCAAGGTGGGAGGATTGCTTGAGGCCAGAAGTTTGAGACTAGCATGGACAGCATAGAGAGACCCTGTCTCTCCAAAAAATTTTAAAAATTAGCTAGGCATGGTCATGTGCACCTGTAGTCCTAACTACTCCAGAGGCTGAGGTGGGAGGATCACTTGAGGCTACAGTGAGATATGATGGCGCCACTGCACTCCAGCCTGGGCAACAGAGTGAGACCCTATGTCTAAAAAAAAAGATAAGAGGCTCAGATGATCACAACTAAAGTTTGGTCAAGGAAAGAGTCTTTATCACAGATTTCACAGAATCAAGCAATTTACCCAAGAGGAGAAATTTAAAACATTATCTGCACTCTTAAGCCCATTGAGAGTACATAGGAATTATTTCTAAAAGGTTCTGGGTGACATGTCAACAAAACCATACGTGCAATTATAACACACACGTAATTACAATTTCAAAACTTCTCTGTATAATCCAACATTGACCAATAGAACTTCCAGTGATGATAGAAATGCTTTATGCCTATGTTGTCCAATACAGGAGCCATTAGCCATTTGTGGCTTTTGAACATTCAAAATGTGGCTAGTGTAACTGAGGGATTAAATGCTTCATTTTATTTAATTTTAATTAATTGTAATTTAAATCACCACATGTAGCTAGTGATGACCACATTGGGCAAGGAAGAGTAGACTCTCAAGAATATATAAATATTCAGAATGCATTTTTTTCTCTGTCGGAATTACTTCTAATTAGGAGACTTCCAAATTATATTAAACATTGAAACATTTTCTCCACAAGCATATGAATTGCAACAGCTAGACCTGCCAAGTATTGACCAACTCATGTTGAAAGTGAAGTCAATGGATCCAAAGTAGAAATAAAATAGGGTACTGGTAAGATCAAAGATGTTGTAATTAGGTGCGATTTCAACTTCTCTACTAACTAACTGTGGCCCTTGGGCAAGTTATCTTTCTCAGTTTCAGTTTTCTCATCTGTAAAATGAGGATCTTAGTACCTATCTCATCAAGGTATTATGAAGATTAAGAGAAATAAGGCATTTAGTAGCATGCTTAGACTATATAAACTCATTAAATTGTAGCTCTATTATTAATTACAAAACTTTTTTTAAAACACAGATTTAGAATATCATGTGAATGTCTACATACAATTTTCCAGGAAACAACTTGATTTGAGTTCTACAAGAACACATGGCATAGTCCAGAGCAAATACTGTGTGTATGTTCTTTGAGTATGTGGGGAATGCAAGCCCTTTTTAACGGGATGGGAGAAGCTGCTGTTATTAGCGAAGATCTATGTACACACATCAGCATCTTACCAAGCACAGCAGGCACCATGATAACTCTCCAACACTGACATCCTTCCAAATCCATTGCCCAGATCTCCTGTGCTTTGGCAAAGTATATCAGTGGTTTCTCTAGGTCGGAGGTATCAATAGTCATTGCTCCACTTAACTCAAATTCAGTCACATTACAAGAACATTGGCTCCTTCCGTTTTGGTGGTTTGTGGCTGTGGGTTGCAGAATGCGGTGCAAGGTGTGGTTGATAATACTGTAGTAGGACATCTGATAGCCCAAATCGGAAACTTCTGTCCAATACAAGCGACTATAGGTGGAAAAAAAGTCCCTTCAACTTAATGAATAAAATCAAATATTGGTTCCTAATGAAGACCAACCATTCCTAATGATTGGAGGGACAAATGCAGCCTTTGGAAAGAGCATGTCCAAGTGTCCAATAACTTTCTGAGATGAGGAAGATCACAGAAGTCTAACTTACAGCATTTCCAGTGACTTTTTTTGATAAATGGGTTTATAACTAAAGCCTTGAACTATAATGACTTTAGGCAATGTATTAAATGGGTCATTAATGGCTGTAAATATGAAATATATTTGCATACTTTTCATCAATGCCCATCTCTATTCCCCTCCTCTTATTTGTTTCTGCTTCTTAATACTAGTTAATGATCTAGTTTCAAAATAGCCTATTCCCTCATTTGTACAAACAAAAATGTATCTTTCCAGCCTGGGAAATTGCCAATCAGTGCTGAATGGAGACCTTAAAGCTTATCTTATGAGGATATTAATTAATTAAAATGGATGAGCCCAGAATAATTTTTGCTATGCAAGACATGCTGTCCATCTGTTCCCACTCAACTCCTGTCACTCTCTCAGTCCTCTTCCTGTCCTTACCAACTGATGATATTATTACATTCACCAGTATAAAAATCTGCTATTGTTTCCTGCTGGGAATGAGCCTAACTTTAGGTTAGTCAAATGGTCAGTATGGATTAAGTTTACATATTTGTGGTTGTGGGCTCATAATTTATATGCAGAATTATTTCTATAAGATAATATAGTGAGCCAAGAACCCTAATCATCTTACTTTTCTGTCATTAACTTCTAATAATAAACCACAGATATTACATTAAATATGTCCATGTCTATTTCATCACAATAGAAAAAATACACTGCCATACCTTAAAAGAGGATATACGGAAAAAGAAATTATTGTTGAATTCCTGTTGCAAATCTTCAGCTCTCTGGGGTATTTCACCTTGTGTTCAAGATCAACATCAAATATTTGCATTCCGTTTTGTGATTCTTTCAGTGCAAAGTAGAGGTGCCTTGAAATCCAGTCAATCGTAATAACTGTGATATCAAAAGCCAGTGCATCTCGGAGGAGCTTAACAATAGGTAGAGAACACAGCTAAGGAGATAGTGGTTATTTTTTTAAATTTTAAGACTTTTCTATAATCACACATATCACTTATTTACTGCACTTCTCCTTTGTAGTCCAAAACATCAATAATTCTAGATTATGTACCATTATAACGTGGGTCCTCTTATCACATTTTCTCTAGATAATTTCAACTACCATGACTTCAACTAGAATCCATAGACCACTGCGGCAAACCCACATCTTCAGGCACAAGCCTTCATTGAACTAGTGATTCAAATATCAAACTGCCTACTAAACATCTCCATATGAATGACCCCAGAAAACAAAGCTCATTACCCACCCCAAACCTGCTTTTCTCCTGCATTTTATGTTTTTATGGATGTCCAACACCCACCCAAGGAGCCAATCTCGACGAACGCAGTTCCTCCTTGACTTCTTCCTCACACTCTACCCTCAGTGAGCTAGTCTCATTTTAAACATCTCTCCAATTTGTCCTCTCATTCTCACCTCACTGCCATGGCCCTGCTCAGGCTGTGACATTTTTTACCTGGATTTTTGGGATGGCCTCCTAATTGTCTCTCTCAGATTTAACCCTCTCCAGGTCATTATTCACACCACAATCAGACAGGTCTTTCTAAAACACAACCATGTTAATGACCCACTAAAGTTCTTTAATGGCTTGCTGTTGGCTTCCAGGTTGACAGCGGACTCCTTAGCACAGGCAAGGAGGCCCATCATGCTCCAACTCCTGCCCCCCTCTCTGGCGTTATCAGCTGCCTCTCCTCCACCCTCACCCCACCTTCCTTCCAAACATGCTGTGGCTCTTTGTTTTCCTGTCTTTGCACTTGCTACTCCCTCAGCCTCTGCCCACCTTCCCTGGCTCATCATCTTTGTCCCCAGGATGTTTTCCCATCCTCCCTCCAGCCTAGATGGGGTGTTCATTCTCTGTGACTTCACCACATCCTGCTCTCAGCATGGCAGTCATACTAGTCCATCTTCTCTATTAGCTAACACCTAGTGAATGCCTACCACATGCCAGGCATTGTGCTAGGGGCTTGACATGGATTTTCTCATGGAATCTTCACAGGAACCCTATATTACCTAACCGTAGAGGTTAAATAACTAACCGATGGTCACAAATCTAATAAGTGGTGGAGCCAGAATTAAATTCTAGGTAGTCAGATTCCCAAACTCACCCTCTTAATCAGGATGCAATACTGCCCTCCTCGTGCTAGACTAACACTAGACTGGCTTTGTTAAGAGCAAAGCCTATAAATTTTACCTCAGTATTCCCAGGATCTAAAACACAGTGACTTAAACCCAGTAACTGTGTTGCTAGATTAACCCTAAATGACATTTTCCCAAAATCTATTCTGTATTCATTTGTGGCTAAATGATTACACATCAGTCCTTTCCAAATCATTCTAATCTCAATGACAACCACAAGCCAGTTATTTTAATTATAGGTGAGTGCAATACGCAAATGTTTCACTGTCTTCATTTTAAAAGAATTACATAGTGAAATACCTCAGAGCTGGAACGATTGTGCACGTCGAGAAGGAAGAGTGAGTTTCCCTCAGCGTAATACCCCATCTCATCATCAGCTGTGTAGCCCACGGCACTGATCTCTCTTTCCCCTGAGAATGTCCACACAACTTGATTTTGATCCATGTCTAAAAAAACTATCTTGTTGCCCAAGAGAGTTATGAGGTAAGGAAATGGGTTGATTTCTGAAAACGAAAAAACGAGTGGATAATATGCATGAGGAAACTAACTTTAGTTTTAGCAAAGTCTCTTGATTCACTATCAGGCAGTTTTGAAATCCATCGTCCTCTTTGGGTCATCTACTACATTGTCTCAATGAAGACTATAGGCTCTCTATCCCCAGGTTTATTTAAACATGTTTTGGTGAAAATCAAAACAGATTATTTTATCTGAACTTAACTTCAGCTCAGAGACAGTGTTCATATCCCTGAAGATACCAATGGGCACAAAACATTTTTAAATTGTTATTCGCACAGATTCTATGTAACAAATACCTGATATTGTAGACTTTACTATGTCAGAAAATGGTCCTGGCCCTTTAGATGTGAAGACTCGAACCTAAGCAAAGGCAATAAAAAACTGCATTCAACAGTGTTCTCAGTGGCAATGATTAAGTTCCGAGATTGACACATAATTGAATGTTTCATTTGTCACTCCTGATAGTTTTGAATAGTTATTCACATCAATATATAGCCATAAGTCACTAAGAGGAAATATAGTGCCCTATACCCATGTTGTTGGGTTTTCTTATCTAGAAAAGTACAAAGAAATGGTGCAAATATTTCTTGCAAAAAAGATGCATTGCTAAAAA